ATTGAAGGAGAAAAACCATATGATCATCTCAATAGATGCAGAAAAAGCTTTTGACAAAATTCAACACCCATTTATGATTAAAAACTCTCCAGAAAATGGACATAGAGGGAACCTACCTCAACATAATAAAGGCCATATATGACAAACCCACAGCAAGCATCATACTCAATGGTGAAAAACTGAAACCATTTCCACTAAGATCAGGAACAAGACAAGGATGTCCACTTTCACCACTCTTATTCAACATAGTTTTGGAAGTCCTAGCCACGGCAATCAGAGAAGAAAAAGAAATAAAAGGAATCCAAATTGGAAAAGAAGAAGTAAAACTGTCACTCTTTGCAGATGACATGATGCTATGCATAGAAAATCCTAAAGATGCCACCAGAAAACTATTAGAACTAATCAAAGAATTTGGTAAGTTTGCAGGATACAAAATTCATGCACAGAAATCTCTGGCATTCCTATACACCAACAATGAAAAATCAGAAAGAGAAATTAAGGAAGCACTCCCATTTACCATTGCAACAAAAAGAATAAAATACCTAGGAATAAACCTGCCTAAGGAGGAGAAAGACTTGTATTCAGAAAACTATAAAACACTAATGAAAGAAATCAAAGATGACAAACAGATGGAGAAATATACCATGTTCTTGGATTGGAAGAATCAATACTGTGAAAATGACTATACTACCCAAAGCAATCTACAGATTCAATGCAATCCCTATCAAACTACCAATGGCATTCTTCACAGAATTAGAACAAAAAATTTTACAATTCATATGGAAACACAAAAGACCCTGAATAGCCAAAGCAATCTTGAGAAAGAAAAACGGAGTTGGAGGAATCAGGCTCCCTGACTTCAAACTATACCACAAAGCTACAGTAATCAAGACAGTATGGTACTGGCACAAAAACAGAAATATAGATCAATGGAACAGGATAGAAAGCCCAGAGATAAACCCACGCACATACAGTCACCTTATCTTTGATAAAGGAGGCAGGAATGTACAGTGGAGAAAAAACAGCCTCTTCAATAAGTGGTGCTGGGAAAACTGGACAGCTACATGTAAAAGAATGAAATTAGAACACTACCTAACACCACACACAAAAATAAACTCTTAGAGGAAAACACAGGACAAACACTCTTTGACATAAACCACAGCAAGATCTTTTTTGACCCACCTCCTAGAGTAATGGAAATAAAAACAAAAATAAACAAATGGGACTTAATTAAGCTTAAAAGCTTTTGCACAGCAAAGGAAACCATAAACAAGGCAAAAAGACAACCCTCAGGCAAAGGATTAATCTCCAAAATATACAGACAGCTCATGGAGCTCAATATCAAAAAAACAAACAATCCAGTCAAAAAATGGGCGGAAGACCTAAATAGACATTTCACCAAAGAAGACATACAGATGGCCAAGAGGCACATGAAAAGATGCTCAACATCACTAAGTATTAGAGAAATGCAAATCAAAACTACAATGAGGTATCACCTCACACTGGTCAGAATGGCCATCATCAAAAAATCTAGAAACAATAAATGCTGGAAAGGGTGTGGTGAAAAGGGAACCCTCCTGCACTGTTGGTGGGAATGTAAATTGATACAGCCACTATTGAAAACAGTATGGCGTTTCCTTAAAAAACTAAAAGTAGAACTACCATATGACCCAGCAATCCCACTACTGGGCATATACCCTGAGAAAACCATAATTCAAAAAGAGTCATGTACCACAATGTTCATTGCAGCTCTATTTACAATAGCCAGGACATGGAAGCAACCTAAGTGTTCATCGACAGATGAATGGATAAAGAAGATGTGACACATATATACAATGGGATATTACTCAACCATAAAAAGAAACGAAATTGAGTTATTTATAGTGAGGTGGATGGACCTAGAGTCTGTCATACAGAGTGAAGTAAGTCAGAAAGACAAAACCAAATACCGTATGCTAATGCATATATATGGAATCTAAAAAAACAATGGTACTGATGAACCTAGTTGCAGAGCAGGAATAAAGATGTAGACATAGAGAATGGACTTGAGGACACCAGGTGGGAGGGGGGAGCTGGGGCAAAGTGAGAGTAGCATCGACATATATACACTACCGAATGTAAAATAGTTAGCTAGTGGGAAGCAGCAGCATAGCACTGGGAGATCAGCTCTGTGCTTTGTGACCACCTAGAGGGGTGAGACAGGGAGGGTGGGATAGGGAGGGTGGGAGGGAGGCTCAAGAGGGAGTGGATATGGGGACATATGTATGGGTATGGCTGATTCACTTTGTTGTACAACAGAAACTAACACAGTATTGTGAAGCAATTATACTCCAATAAAGATCTATTTTTAAAAAAAGCAAAAGGGAAAAAAAATAAATGCTTTGTAAACCGCAACTTGTTACACCAGCGTTAATAAGTATTATGTAATATTACTGTGCTCAGGTCGGTTATTTAATATTGTTGGCCTACTCACCCATTTGATCGTAACTAATATCACATTTCAATTACATCATTCTGGTTCCTTGTGCCCAATACTAATAAAGGCTACCACTTACTGAGCATTTAACCTGGGCTAGATTCTGCGGTGAGATTTCACATGTGTGATCTCATTTATTCCTCATTATAGCAAGCTAGGTATTATTATAAGCATTATCCCCATTTTTCAGATGAAAAAAGTAAGGCAAGCTCAAAGAGGTTAATTAGCTTTCCCAATAGCAAACAGCCAGATTTTGAATCCAGAAACTTCGAGTTTATGATCCAAACCCTGATTCTAATCATCTCCCACTTCTGCCAAAGTCTTCAGATAAGGACACTATCAACAGAGTGAAAAGCAACACACAGAATGGGAGAAAATATTTGCAAATCACATATTTGATAGGGTATTAATATCCAGAATATATAGAAAACTCTTAAAACTCAACAAAAAAACAACCCGATTTTTAAAATTTTTATTTGTTTATTGAAATATAACTGATGTACAATATTATATGTTACAGATGTACAATATAGTGATTCACAATTTTTAAAGGTTATTCTCCATTTATAGTTATTATAAAATATTGGCTATATTTCCTGTGTTGTACTATATATGTTCTTGTAGCTTATTTTATACCTAATAGTTTGTGCCTCTTAGTCCCCTACCCGTATGTTGCCCCTCCTCCCTTCCCTTTCCCCACTGGAAAGGGAACTAGTTTGTTCTCTATATCTGTGAGTCTGCTTTTTTTTGGTTAAATTCACTAGTCTGTTTTATTTTTTAGATTCCACATAGAAGTGAGATCATACAGTACTTGTCTTTCTCTGTCTGACTTATTTCACTTAGCATAATATCCTCCAAGTCCATCCATGTTGTTGCAGATGGAAAAATTTCATTCAGCCACAGACAATCCTTTTTTAAAATGGGCAAAAGACTTTCTCCTAAGAAGATGTACAGGGCTTCCCTGGTTGTGCAGTGGTTGAGAGTCCGCCTGCAGATGCAGGGGACACGGGTTCGTGCCCCAGTCCGGGAAAATCGCACATGCCGCGGAGCGGCTGGGCCTGTGAGCCATGGCCGCTGAGCCTGCTCGTCCGGACCCTGTGCTCCACAGCGGGAGAGGCCACAGCAGTGAGGGCCCATGTACCACAAAAAAAAAAAAAAAAAAGAAGATGTACAAATGGCCAATAAGCACATGAAAAGATGCTCAAATCACTAGTCACTAGGTAAATGCAAATCAAAACCACAATGGTATGCCACCTCACACCCATTAGGATGGCTATTATAAAAAGAAACAACAGAAAATAACAAGTGTTGGCAAGGCTATGGAGCAATTGGAACCCTTATGCATTGCTGGTAGGAATGTAAATTGGTGCAGCCACTGTGGAAAACAGTATGGTGGTTCCTCAACATTAAAAATAGAATGACCAGGGCTTCCCTGGTGGCGCAGTGGTTGAGAGTCCGCCTGCCGATGCAGGGGACGCGGGTTCATGCCCCAGTCCGGGAAGATCCCACGTGCCGCGGAGCGGCTGGGCCCGTGAGCCATGGCTGCTGAGCCTGCACCTCCGGAGCCTGTGCTCCGCAACGGGAGAGGCCACAACAGTGAGAGGCCTGCGTACTGCAAAAACAAACAAACAAACAAAAACAAAAATAGAATTACCAGGACTTCCCTGGTGGTGCAGTGGTTAAGACTCCATGCTCCCAATGCCCAGGGCCCGGGTTCGATCCCTCGTCAGAGAACTAGATCCTACATGCATGCCACAACTAAGGAGCCCGTGAGCCGCAACTAAGGAGCCCGCCTACTGCAACTAAGACTCAGTGCAACCTAATTAATTAATTAATTAATAGAATTACCATATATCTAGCAATTCCACTTCTGGGTATATATCCAAAGGAGGTAAAAGCAGGGTCTAGAAGAGATATTTGTATACTCATGTTTACAGCAGTATTATTTACAATAGCCAAAACGTGGAAGCAATCCAAGTGTCCACTGATGGATAAATGGATATGCCTACAAGAGAATATTATTCCGCCTTCAAAAGGAAAAAGTTTTGGCACATGCTACAACATGAATGAACATTTGAGGTCATTATACTAAGTGAAATACGCCAGTCACCAAAGGACAAATACCATATGATTCCACTTATTTGAGATACCAAAAGTTGTCAGATTCACAGAGACAGAAAATAGAAGGGTGATTGGCCAGGGCTGGAGGGGGTGAGGAACGGGGAGTTGTTATTTAATGGGTTCAGAGTTTCGCTTTTGCAAAATGAAAAGAAGTTCTGGAGATGGGTGGTGGTAATGGTTGCATAATAATGTGAATGACCTTAAGAGTAAACTGTACGCCTAAAAATAGCTCAAATGGTAAATTTTACATTTTGTATATTTTACCACAATTTATAAAAGAAGATCCAAGCCTTGATTTTACCCATTTCCCAGTCCTGCCAAAGTCTTCAGATAATTTCCTTCTGATGAATGTTTGCTGCTTTCCCTCCAGATAACCTGCCTTTTCTTTCTTTTTCCTCCTAAGACCAGACTGCTCTCTGCCAGGATCTCTGGAGCCTCGCATTGGTCAATGCCCCTGAAGAGGGCAGAGTCCAGCCTCAGGCCTCTAGCCCACCCTCTTCCTGGGAAGAAAATGCCTCTGCTCCGAAGGCAGCCAGCACATATTTTACTCACAACAGTCGGCAGATGGCTGTGGATCCCTTCTGTTCCCAGGAATCACATCGGAACTAACCGCGCTGTGCATTTTCCATCACTGGTAGCTATCCCAACGTGACGTGGGACATCGTTATTAATAGGTGAAGGACAAAGAGAGAGGGGAAGTGGCTTGGGCTGAGTCACACAGCAAAGTTAGAACTCTGATCTCCCAGCAACTACCGTCGCCCTGGGCTCTGTCCCACACACCTGGCAGCTCCAGAGACTTGCTCCTTTTTGTACTCTGGGCAACGAACTCTCTAGCTAACCAAGCGGGTCTGACTTGTCTTACAGAGAAATGAAGCAAAATCTTCTTCGGGATGGTGTATTATGATCTTTCGGTTTCTACTGGTTGGCAAGAAACCGAGTCCCCACTACTTACTGAATGACCTGGAACACGTCATCGAAAGTTTCTGGACCCTCAGTTTTCCCTTCAGTAAAATGTAGACAAGATTTATTGGTGCCTACCCCCAGAGAAGCTGGGTGCGCTAGGGAGAGGAGTGGGGTGCCCTTATCCAGTCTATTCTGCGTTACCCTTTACACGGGTGAACTTCAAACCTGGCTGAGCATGGTAATCACATGGTGGCCTTTAAAAATACAAATTCCTGGGCCTTGCCCAGCCTGGCTTACTTGGATTTCTTCTCCTTTCTCCCGGCCAAGTGGCCCCCAGGGTGAAGGGAACCCCCTTGATTTGAGCATCGGGGTGGTCTTTAACTTTTCTATGTAAATCCTCTCCAACTCAGCTTAAAGGAACCTTTGCTACGAGATGGGAAGCATTGCGTTCTGTCTCCTTTGAGCTCTCCCTTGGACTCACTGTTCCCCCAATTTTGGCACTTCTCACATACTGCTTGTTATTTTTACTTAACTGTTTCAAATCTTTGCCTCTTGTTTCCTCAGTTAGCTACTGGAGGGTAAAAACCATGACCTACCCTTCTCTTATTGCCCCGCAAATGCCAGCTCCATTAGCACCTAGTATCTCTTCAGTAAATATTTGTTGAATGGCAAATCTTGTAATTCGGAAATCTGAAATAATTTCTTATTTATTTGGGAGACGCTCTGTGTCCTTTGGAAGCTTTCTGGTCACATGGAAAGAACTTTAAACAAAGAGGCAAGAGCCCTAGCTTCCAATCTTGGCTCTGTCACAAACTCCCATTGTGACCTGCAGCAAGTCGCTCGCCTTCTCTAGCCCTTGGTTCCCTCACTTGTGAAACCGGGGCTGATCTGTAAAGTTTCTTTTAGCTTTGGATTTTTTGGCTACTCTAGATAGCAAGGGCAGCCTTTTTCATGTCAATGTCTTTAATGCCCACCATGCCTAATTTTTTTTCCTCTAAGGACTACATAATCGATGGATCATCTCCAGTTTATAAAATGAGAAACTCAAGTAAAGAACAAGTAAATGCTTTGGCCAAGCTTCCATGCTTAGTGTGAGTGTGTGTGTGTGTGTGTGTGTGTGTGTGTGTGTGTGTGTGTGTGAGAGAGAGAGAGAGAGAGAGAGAGAGAGTGTGTGTGGCGGTGTCGCTCATTCCTCACTGCAGCTCCCTGGCTTTGACTGGATTCTTCCATCCCAGAGCTGTTACCAGTCCTTCCCAAGTGTAGGACTGTTAACCCTTAATTATCTGCATGCCCTCTCTCTCTGTGAACAACCCAGGGCAAAGGTATGACATATTCTAGCTGGGTTTCCTCTTGTCCCTCTGCACACTCCCATGTAGGGTCAGAATGTCCACTGCAGTGTTCAGTACGGTCTGTTCAAATACTGTCCCCTGAGGAGGAAATGAAAGACATAAGACACTAGTCCTTGCCCTCTAGTTGGCCTGGGAGGCCGGGACAAGAATGTGTGGGGAAAAGCTGCCACCATATATAAGGGAGGACCTGGGAGCGAAGTGCTGCTTTGATATATCTCCAATACCTAGAACAGTGCCTGGTACATAGAAGATGCTCAGCAAATATGTTAAAAGAGGTGAAAACTGCTACAGTTTTCAAACTTTTTAATTTTAAGGAAGGGAAAGCCTTTCTTCAATGAAATCATCCCCAAAGCTCACTACATAAAACAGGTGGACACAAGGTTGCCCTGGTTGAGGGGAGGTAGAGTCGAACCCTGCCTGCTGTCTCCTCTGGGCCCCAGCGAGAATCCTCAGGGCCCAGTTGGAAAACTTGCTGTAAGTCAGTTGAAAAGGAGGAGCGGATCAACTCTTGCTCTTTTTCTTGGTTAACCTTAGCCAGGAGGGGATGCTGGCAAAATAAATGGAGGTTTGAAGGACCCAGCCCTTTAAAGGGAATATTGGCATCTGAAAAAGCGTTCTCAATTTCTCCTCTCCCCTCATCGTCAAGTTCTAGGGAACTTCAATCATTAAGGGCAGAGGAGAAGAAGTTTTGAGTAGGAGATTTGTGAGTTGGTCCACAAATGAATACCAATGGAATGTTTGTTTAAAGAAAGAAGGAAGGACAAGCATTGTGGTAATGTTCTCCAGTATTCAATAGAAACCCACTGGGTGTTATCCTACAGGCAGTCCTGATGTGAAAATGCAACGTAAAACTCTCACGTGGCCTGGTAGTGAGTGGATGGTGCTGCCTTTTGCACCATTGCACCCTGCAACACACTGGCAGCTTTCAACCTTCCTAAGTTCCTGGTTAGCCATGGCACACACAGCTGTCCGGAGGGGCCACCTGATGAGAGCAACTCCACTCGAAGTCTGCAGGACTGAATGAAACCCGCTGCCTGACTTGGCCTTCTCCTTGCCTCCTTGCCATGGCGGGTAAGGGAGGGAAGCCAACCCAGGGAATGCTTACTTGTCGAGGTGGTCCAGGGAGCAAAGGCACAGCCCAAATCTGCATCTGGAAGACAATTTTGGATAACCAATATCTATTTTTAAAACTTGTCAAAGGGATAAAATTTTTGAATTAAGAGGTCATCATTTTCCATCTCATGGCCCTTTCATATAAATCTCTTTACCTGCCCCACAGATTATCCCTCCTCACAGGCGCCAGAAGGGACAGGCAGATAATTAATGCCTGGAACCCTGCTACAGACTGTGTCCCCCCCACCCCGCCAAAATTCATATGTTGAAACCTAATCCCCAGTGTGATGGTATTTGGAGGTGGGGCCTTTGGGAGGTGATTAAGTCATGAGGGTTCCTCATGAATGGGATTCATGCCTTTATAAAAGACCTCACAGAGATCCCTTGCCCCTTTCCACCATGTGCGGCTACAGAAAAAAGACAGCTGTCTTGAGCCAGGAAGAGGGTTCTTACCAGACACTGGATCTGCCAGCACTTTGATCTTGGACTTCCCAGTCTCCAGAAATAAATTTCTCTGTAAGAAATAAACGTTTGTTGTTTATAAGCCACCCAGTCTATGATGTTTTGTTATAGCAGCCTGAGCGGACTGATAGACCCCATTCAATTAACAGGGGAAACTGAAGGTGAAAGGAGCTCCCCTTAGACAGCAAGTCAGCAGGAGCTCCAGCTTCTCCCCAACTGCCCAGCATAGTCTTCTCCTCCACCTCTTGGCCTCCTGACTCCCCCAGCTTCAAACTCTAGCTCAGGCCTGACCTTGAAGAAGAGGACAGCCATCTAGCCACCCCTGCCCTTCCACTACTACTGCTGACCTCACCCCCTTGTCCAAGCCACCATCTCCCACAACATCTGGACTAGTCTTTTGTACTTAAGTAGTTGAGTTGGGTATCATGACACCTAGTTTTAGGATAGAAGGCTGTCAAGGTTCAAGCTGGAGGGAACCTTGGACATTAGGACAAGACCTTGTCAAACTAAGACCTTGTGGGAGGACTCGCCCAAAGTCTCACAGCAAGTTATGACAAAGCCAGGGCTGCAAGCCAGGTTTTCCGACGTGTGCCTTCTTCCCTACATCCTGAGTTCCTCTGGTTTCTTTTCTTGGTCCCTTTCCCCATGTGCCCGTGTCCCTTCTCCCTTCTGACCCTCTCCCCCCATCCTGTCTCAGAGGGAGGCTCTAAGGATAGCTGCACAGTACCTGTTCTCTGGGACCTTGGTGTTGACTCAAGGGGGATTAATGACCTAAAGAGACACAGCCCGGATGGAGCCTGTGGTTCCCAGCTCTGAAACATAACTAGTCATCCTTGACACTGGTTCAGAAGCCAAAACGATGGCTCCCAGAGTTTTAGATCACTTGCCCAAGGTCACTCAGCTAAGAAATGGCCAGAGCAGGCGCCCATTGTAGGTCCTCAGGCCTCTGCGGCGGCATTCTACCTCGGCCGTGGCTCCAGGCAGTACCGAGAGCCTGCCGACTCCGCAGGCCCACTGAGCCGGAGACAAGTCCAGACCCCACCTCCCTGCTTGGAGCAGCAGGACCCTTATCTGAGCGAGTGGCTCCCGTCCGAAGTGTGGGGGTGGGAGGGAGACGTGGGGTGGGCGGTTCACTCTGGCCTTCTGGAAGGAAGCGGGGCACCCTTGAGACCCCTAGCCGTTGTGAGCCAAGCATCGCGGCTTGGGCGCAGCCCCCCACTGTGACACGCCTGCGTCGGAAGTCTCCGCTCTGGAGCGGCGGACCGGCAGGCAGCGGGGCCGGCCGCTGGAGTGCGCCGGGACTCGTGGACTTTCTCCCGAGCAGCGCTCTGGGTTCCCGCCTTCCGCCCGCCGTTCTCCCACGCCCCCGGAGTGCCCACGGACCCCAGCAGGCCTTGTGCTCGCGGCCGCGCCCATCCTGCCGGTGGCCCCCAGGGCCGGGGCGCCGGCCTCCCGCCCCAGCGCAGGTTCCAGCGTTGGAGGAGAGAGAGGTGAGGAAGCGGGGCGCGCGGGGGGCCTCCTCCGGGCGCTAGCCGGCGAGCGCATCTTCTCCGCATGTCCCTCTCCGCTCAGCGAGCGCCGCCAAACTGCTGAGCCCGCCGGGCCCGCTGCTCCGAGTCTTTCCCGGCACAGGAGATCAAGCGCCCTCAGATAACCGCACTCACTACCTTTGGGGGACTCCTTGGGGAAGGTGGCCAGGGACCCCGGGTGTGAGGAGCCGGGGCCGGTACCCGAGTGGGGGCTGCCCGGGGACCCTCCCAACCCGCTTCCCTTCGCAGACAGCCGCCGTCGCCCCTGGGAGGGCAAGCCTCCGGCGTCCCTAAAGACCTGGCGGACTGCGTGCCTCGAGGTACCGGCCTCTTGAGGGGAGAGGGGACCGCTAGCAGGCGGCTGGCAGAGAGGACCTGTTTGCTGACGGGTTTGGAGGAGGGATGGGGTAGGGTTTGGAGACGGAGAAGTCCAGGAGAAGACGCTGGGCTTTTTCTTTCTCTCCCGGTCTTCCGAAAAGGAACCACATTGCGAGGGGGAACTAAGAGTGTAAATACAAACAACCGCAAAAAGAAGCCAAGAAAAGCTAAGCCCACAGAAGCAAGCACAACACTGTTACAAAACTGTCTGGTTTTGTAACAATCGCCCCGCCGCCGGCCAATGAGCGGCTTGGCGGCGCGTCACGTGGTGTCGTTTTATATAACACTTTGCTGAGACAAGACAGTTATTAGGCGGCGCGGGGCGGCCGGCATGGAGCTCGCGGAGGCATTGCAGGGACCGGCGAGCGGCAGAGCGGCGGCCGTGGCAGCCCCGATTCCCTCCAGCCGCCGCTCCCTGCTCCGCGTCCCCGGCCCCTAGACGCCTCTTCCCCACGCATGTCCCTCTCCCTATGGATTCATTTCAGACTGAACAGATGCTGAGCTTGCCCGCCGAGCTCTGCAGCAACAACTTAGAGCTGGCGGAGCCGGCGGCATCACCGGCCCGCGGAGACACGGGCCCCCACCCAGAGGCGGCTACAGAAGGCCCCGCACCTCTACCGACTCGGCCGCCGCCGCAGGAGCGTCCTCCGAGGGCCTCGACGCCGGAGTGCAAAGTCCTTCTCACGCAGGCCGACGCCCTGGCGTCTGGGGGGCGCCTCCGTGAAGCCCTCGAGGTGTACCGACAGCTCTCGGAGCGGCAGCAGCTGGTGGCCGAGCAGCTGGAGCAGCTGGTGCGCTGCCTGGCCGAGAAAGTCCCTCAAGGCGAGGAGCCGGCGCCGGAGCCCCCGGACGGGAGCCGCGGGGCGAGCTGCGCTCTGGCGGCGGAAGAGGCAGGGGCGGCGACGGCCGCCGAGGCCACCGAGGTGTGGGACGGCTTCAAGTGCCGGAAGTGCCATGGATTTCTCTCAGACCCCGTGTCCTTGTCCTGCGGACACACCTTTTGTAAACTGTGCCTGGAACGCGGGCGGGCAGCCGACCGGCGCTGTGCGCTGTGCGGGGTCAAACTCTCCGCTTTGATGGTGGCCACCGGGCGGGCGCGCGGGGCCCGGCGAGCTGGGCAGCAGGCGCCGCCGCTGCGGGTCAACGTGGTGCTCAGCGGCCTCCTCGGGAAGTTGTTCCCGGGCCCGGCAAGGGCGTCGCAACTCCGGCACGAGGGCAACCGGCTGTACCGCGAGCGCCAGGTGGAGGCGGCGCTGCTCAAGTACAACGAGGCAGTTAGGCTGGGTGAGGCCACCGTGCCGCCGGGGCCGGGGCGGGTGGGGGCACGAGCCCGGCGGGGAGCTGCGGGGTGGGCCCGGGCGGAGGAGGGCGCGCGGACCTTGGGATGGACCGCGACCGGAGTGGGGGAGGGGGGCTCTGGAGTTCCGTCTCCGACTTTTTCTCTGTCTCTGCTGGTTCATGGCCCTTTCTCTGGGTCTCTGTCTATCTCCTTGCTCTTTGTCTTCTTCTGTGTCTCCTGTTAGCTTGTGTGTTTCTGCGTGTCTCAGTCCCTGCTTCTGTTTGTGTCGCTCTGTTTCTCCGTCTTTTTCTTTCTTTCCGTATCTTTGTCACTCTGGCTCTTGCTCCGTGTCACCGTCTGTTTCTCGGGCTCGCCTTCTCCTTCTGTCGCTGCGCGCACGGGCCCCTCTTAACACCTGTCCGTAGCCTTCGGGCCAGCAGGGGAACTTCGCACCCTTCCCACTCGCGCGCCGGGGCCTCTGGGCTCCCGCCAGCCTGGGATGTTCGGTCGGCGCCTGCGTCTGCAGCTCCCTCCCGGCCTGGGGCCGCCGTGGCTGCCGGGAGTTGTCCCTTCCGGGGCCGCGGCTCCCGGTGGGGTGGGTCCGGCGTGGAATTAGGTCAGGAGAGCACTGGTTGCATAAGGGCCGCGAGCGGCCGGGGCCGGGCGGCCCCTCCTCCGCGCGGGCGGGCGGGATTGTGTAACGGCTGAGGTAGCTGAAGTGGGCCACGCTCGCCTCGGAAACCATCCCGGGAGCGTGTGCGGGCGGGGTGGGGGGAGCGCTCGCGCCCCGTCGCCCTGTGACTCATTGTCACCGCTTCCTATCACACGATCCTCGGCTGAAATAGATGCCCCCCCCCCCGCGCCCGACCGCCCGCAGCCTGCGCTCTCGCCTCGAACACCAGCCCGACAGACCAGAGGGCGACCGGCCAGGCGACGGCTCGGGGATCCTCGGGGACCGTGGGCTGGCTGCCAAGGGGGCCGCCTCTGTCCCGCTTTCCCGTGCCGCCTGAGGAGGGATGGGTGGTCTTTGCGGCCTCAAGGGCGATGTGGGCAGTCCCGCGCCTCGGGCCGCACTAGGGCGCCCGAGTTCCCTCAGGGAACGACTCCCCGCTCCCCGACCCCCCGCGTCTGGACCCAGGAAGTGGCCGCCGAGCCGCGGGTATTGCCCAGCTCAGGCCGGCTGCCAGGAGCTCGGCGGCGGGGCGCGGTGTCTGGCGAAGCGTGCCGGGGAGGAGGCGACAGGGCTGGGCAGACAGGGCTCTGGGATCCCAGGGTGCCCTGAGCCCCACTCGGAAGGGTGGAGGAGGGGGTGGGCTGGCGCCTCCACGTGTTGCATCTCCACCCGAGCTTGCAACAGGTAGTGGGGGAGGGGGAGGAACGAGACCCCGTGTGCCCAAGCAAAGCACAGTGTGTGCTGCAAGGAAAGGGACAGAGGAGACTGCAAACTCTTGACTGATGTCTTAAGAGCAAGTAATGGGCACCCAGGCGAACCCTCTGCACACCCCTGGGGGAAAAACCCCAACAAAGCCTGTTCCCGCAGCAGAAGGTGGAGCCCAGTCCCTGGGGAAGAGCAGGGCAGTATGACGTAGACAGGTGGCAACCGCTTAAGCCCAGGTCTCCAAGGGAGGTTCCATTCCTTTCAGCCGACCCCCAAGGGCCACGAAAGCCCCTTCCTGCCCTCCTCCTCCTCCCCGTTTGTTGCTGTCACCACTTTCCCCTGGGGGTTCTTCCTTGCACCACCAGAGGAGTCAAGGTGAAAAATGTCAAGACCTCTTCACCCTTCTAAGAGGAAAGGGACCTCCCCAACAAAGAGTATCTTGGTGCCAGAAGATGGCCAGTCTCTCTTCCTTACTATTCGAAGTACTACACTCCCCTTCGGAAAAAAAGGAACCTGTCTCCCACCCCAGATTCAAAGTCTGCAAGTTAGTAATGAGTCTGGCCAGCTAGCTAGACTTGAGCAGGTGCCTTCCCCTCTCTGGGCTTGATTCTCCTTGAAGAATGGGTTGATTGAGCCAGATGATCTCTAAAGGCCTTTCCAGCCCTGGCATCTAGTGGTTCAGAGTATTGATGAGAGCCAACCTCACTTTATTCCCAGAAGCCTTGTCCATTCACATCTGCCTATCTGTAATGAGAGGATGGAGGCTTGCAGATGCATTTCTGTTTTCTTCAGAAGAACTTCACGTGTGCTGGGGTTTGTAGACAGAGATGTCGCTGATATCACCGGGAGACTAACTGGGACTTGTCTTCCTGGTGGCAAGGATGGGGGTCACATCTGGCCATCCCCTTCTCCTTCCTCCCTGGCCTGTTTCCTTGTGGGCAATACCTCACCCAGAAGCCAGGCTGCCAGTTGCTAGCCACGGCCATGAAGCAGGGTGCGAGAGTTCCAGGGTGCGAGAGTCAAAGTTGCTAATGCACCACTGACACCACAGGCCCTCTAAGGAACTGCTTGAGAGAAGGGGAAAAATGACTTCTTTACAGTTGGGGAAGCTCAGACCCAGAGTGGCTGGGGGGTGTGGTAGGCAGGGCAATATTAGGGCTGGAGATCGAGCTTATGCCTTTGGGTCCCTAGCAGAAAAGTCCTAGATAACTTGCCATTTTGCTCAAGGTTTTTTTGTTGTTTTTTCTCGTTTTGGCAGCTCCAAATGACCACTTGCTTTACAGCAACCGGTCTCAAATCTATTTCACCTTGGAGTCTCATGAGGATGCACTGCATGATGCAGAAATAGCATGTAAGCTCCGCCCCATGGGGTTTAAGGTGAGTGTGGGATGGGAGGGATGGGAAGGAATTGTACTGTAGACCGGAACTGGCAGGCAGGACCGCCTCCCTCACTCAGAGCAGGGAGAAGGCTCTTCAGAGGAGCTGGGGGGTCCCTTGACAAAGGGTGACTTAGGGATCTGCAAGGGAGCTGGATTCCTCCCCAACCTGATCTTCCACTGATGACCCGCAGAGCAGCCTGGGCCTTGTGACTCTCTAGAGCAGGGACTTGGGAGCCAGACTGCCTGAGTTTATGTCCCAGCTCTGCTACTTTTACTAGCTGTGCGGCCTTGGCAAGTTACCTAACCTCCCTGTACCTCATCTCCTCATCTATAAAATGAGGATATTCAAAGCACCTACTTCACAGGGTTTGTTGTGAGAATTACATGAGCTAATGCACGCAGACACTTAGAACAGTGCCTGGCACATAGCGTTGCATGTGTCTGCCGTCAACAGCATCATTCTTTTCCCAGGACAGTAGAAACAGGAGGGAGAGAGAAGTATTGCTGGCTCATTCTGCCATCTCAAGTCCTTAATGTAGTCAGTCAGCCTGCCGGTTCCCCTAAACATGTAGGTCACGTGGAGGGGTGGGGAGAAAGACAGGTTCAGCATCTCTCAAGATGCCAGGGTGCAAAGTGTCACTTTCTGCATCTCTGTCAGGCCTCAGGACTGGCCCTCAGCCACATTTCAATATTTTGTTTAGAAGATTAGATTTGAGCCTGGGCTCTACTACCTGCAAGCTAAGTGACCATGCGGAAGTCGCTTCACTCTCTGAACCCTAAGTGTCCTAGTTTGCAAAAGGAAGATCTTGCTGTCTGCCCTGATAGCCTCACAGGGGTGCAGTGAGGGTTACAGGTGAGCATGGCCAAGAGACCATTCTGTGAGCTGTAACGCTGGCTCTTGGTGTGGTGCTCTCTCTACACAACCCCAACTCATCCAAGGCTGTGATCCCTTATCTGAATCCTGTGGGGCCAGATATGTTCAGAATCCAGAATGTTCCCAATCTCACAAAGCCCAGGTTTGAGCTCTGGACAGCGCCCCATAGTCACACACGCTATTTCTGCAGGATATTACATGAAAATACACACGAAGTGGGACAAAGACTGTAACACACATCGTTTTAGGTGAGGTTTTGCCACCTAATGATTCTGATGTCAAGCTTATGAAAATATTGGATTATCAGACTGTTTTCAGGATCTGGGAACTTCAGATAAAACATTGTGGAGCTGCATACTGGGCCATTAATGTCAGAGTGAATCTCGTATGTTCTTTCATGAGAAGGTTTTCATGAATGATGATGGATTAGTATATTCTCTTTCCCAAGGAGCACAATTACAGTTTATTCAAAGTCACCAAAGTCTTAACCCACAGGAGCTTCAGTGGGAGCTATTTCAGGCCTTGTAGTGGTGCGGGCCAGTGAGCTGCCTGGGCGTAAGAGGACTTCTCTTGCAACTCTTTCTGCTTAGGCCCCTAAGGGTTGGGGCCTCGACAGTGCAGTGGGAAACAAGGCTGAGTAAGCAGTGGACCATCTTGGATGAAACAGGAAAAGTGACTTCCCCAGTGAAGGAAGAGTTGGTGGAAATATTAAACAGGAGTTCATTTCCCCAAAGTGCTGGCGTAAGCAGAGAGGCAGTGACGAGAGACCTCTGCTGACTTGGGGGTCGAGAGAAGACTTGAACGGTGCTTCTGATTCAGAGCCGCCTCACACCCTGATTTGCATATTTCCCACCATTTCTATATGAAACGCCCTTGTGGGAGGAGTTCATCACGTGCAGCCCTATTCCAGCCCCCCAGCCAGGGCTCTGCTTCTCAAATTCTCCTGCAGGCGGTGCAGCTCCAGGAGGGTGAGCTGGCGGCCCTGAGCAGCTGGAGTATATACAGGTGGCTGCTTGGTATGATTGGTCAGATCCCAAAGCCTCTCGAGGCTGCCAGCACTTATCCCCTCTAGCCGCCCTGAAATGTCACACAAGCCTTTCTCCTGAGGGCCCCCGGAGCACTGCTGGGAAGATGCAACAAGCCATGCATCCGGCTCCAGAAGGAGGGGGAGTTCTTGGGGAGGCCCCCAAGAGGCTTGGAGCAGGGGCCACTGTTCAGGAAGGCAGATCCCGGCTGGCCCCTGTAGCCAGGCCCGAGCCGGAGGGCACTGCGGCCTGCAGAGGCGTGTCGGAAGGGGAGGCCCCGCATATTAGAGTGCCCAGCAGCTGCACCCTGCATTATTTCCTTCACTAAGTTACACTCGGGCTCAGCCGTGGAGCTGAGGGAGTGGGGAGCAGGCCCCTGAGGGGCAGCCTCCAAGCCAAGCTGCCAGGAGCACCTGTCCTAAGGCACGGAGAGGAGGCAGCCCTCCTCCCACCTCTTTTCTTTTTCCTCACTCTTCCCCGGGATGCACCTTTCCCAGGGCAGTTGGGCCTGGACCCTGAGGAGCCCTAAAACTTCTTATGCTATTTCAAGACGTGGCGAGGGGGCTGAGCCCACCGGAGCCAAAGCGTTTGCGCAGGCCCTGGTTAGCCCTCCAAAGGGCGGTCTGCTTCACGGGGAGGGGCACAGTTCTAGTTCCAGCTTTGCTACTAGCTACCTTCGAGGTCTTGGGGAGATCACATGCCTTGGCTCACTTGGGCCTCTTCTGATGAATGATCAGTGAGTGTAGATGGTCGCTCAGCCGGTAAGATGGACTAGGTCTCTGCTTGACAGACCAGTTACCAGGAAGGTCCATCCAGGCAGGTCCTGAAACCTGGTTAGTATGTGCTCAAATGGGGGTTCTTGCTACATTTGGTACGTCCTCCAATACAGTGGTGGGGCCGGGAGAGAGGGAGGCGGAGGCACAGTGGTTGAGAATTTGGGCTTCGGTATCAGTCAGTCCCAGGCTCAAAACTTGATTCCACAATCTCTTATTATTTTGGGTGAGTCATTTCTCTGGATCTCAGTTTTATCTCCTTGAAAATGGGCTTCAGAACAGTTGCCTACCTAGTAGGGCTATAGATGAGATAGTCCTTTTAAAACCCTTCACACGACAATGAAAACCCACGAAGCAGTTAGCTGGTGTTATGAACGATAGCAGCATCAAGAGGTGGATAAGAATGGGATTGAATGCTCATGTTTTCTTCCAGGCACACTTCAGAAAAGCGCAAGCCTTAGCCACCCTAGGCAAGGTGGAGGAAGCACTAAGGGAGTTTCTATATTGTGTGTCCCTCGATGGAAAGAACAAAAGAGCAAGAGCTGAAGCCCAAAGGGTGAGTTGAGATGACGTCAGGTCCAGCTGCCCAGTGGGCCCCCACCCCTCTGTCTTCTCCGGGGTGGGGGGAGTGAGGGAACTGCCCTTCCTGGGATTGGGGGTCCTGAGTGGGTGGCTCCCTGGGTTGAGGGGACAGGAGCGAGACACAAGTGCCAACTGATGGCCCGGAAGCACCATCCTTTTGGCGTGTACAATCAGATCGAGCAGTTCCTGCATTTCTGTAGGAGCTGATGAGGGGTGTTCTTGCTTCTTTGACTCGGGGTTTGGGTTGTCAGTGGGAAACAAACAAAACAAAATAAAACCAAATAAGTTAACATGGGGATGGAGGCCCCCTGAGGAGACTCTGGCTGTTGGCAAGAGGTCCTGTGTGTGAGGCTGCCTGCAGTTGTAGAACTTTTCTTTAGCTAAGTCACAGCTTCACCAGTCACACAGGGCAGCCAGCTCCTCAGAAGGGATGTTGGGTCCCATCTGCCCTGCCATATGCAAAACTCCAACCTTCAGCTCCTTTGCTGGAAATAAAACACACACAGAATATAAGTCAAGGACTATTACAATACATGCAAACAGTCATTCCAACTCTTGAGTCCTGGGAGAATGTGGATGTTACTGTTTAAATACTGGGCGCATTAGTGAAGGCTCAAGCATCCTCAATTCGTGGACTTCGTTGCTTACTGTTCCGCAATGTATTCTCACGGTCTGGCTAACTGGCCTGGAAGTTGGATGTTAGCAATCAGTGGTGGCCTCTGCTCTCCCACTCCCTATTCACCGCCACTCCCCAAGTGCCTCTGTCCCAGTACAGTTTGGCAGAGCAGTGGATGAAGAAAGGGCGCAAGAGACAGGAGTGGTTTCTGAAGGCCCCAGAAAGGAATCTTTAGCAAAATCAATGAACTAGGGGAAGCTGAGCTCTGGAGGCTATGCCTCTCACAGAAGGTTTCTTTTCCGGGAAGTTGCTTTGGCCTGGTTAGTCAGAGCACTGGTGGCAGAGAATTGCTCCAAGCTGTGGACCCTTTCCCAAATCTTAACTGCACTCCATAGTGTGAGTAATAATAATAATAACAGCTAACATTTATTGAGCGTTTCCTGTGCACCCCACACTGTGCTATGGGCTTTATGGGGAAGATATAATTTAATTTCCCCAATGGCCCTATGAGGGTAGGTACTATTATTTATGCCCATGTTACAGATGAGACAGATGAGGAAGCTGAGGCTTGGTGACTTTCCTGAGGTCACACACCTAGTGATTGGTGAAAGAGCAATCAAACCCAACTCCACCTGCTTCCAGAGTCTGCCTTGTGAGCTGCTCCACCATCCTGCTGCCCCAGGAGGCCTTGTCAGGAGTCTTAGCACCCACTGCTGGGGCTGGGGGGAGAACAGCAATGGAATTACCCGGGTTTGGGATGGATGGACAAAGGCGATTAGAAGAGCCTTGACTTTGGGGGACAGAGTGTGCAAAGGCCAAAAGAGGCAGGTGTTGGGCTCAGGAGTGAGTGGTTCCTTTATTCTCATTTGTCCATTTCCCAGTTGGCCTGAGAGGCTCTGGTATCATCAGTTGGATTGATCTCTCTTTACAGCCCGATTTTACAGACCACCTAGTGTCATTTCCACAGCTGCCTTAGCGGGGCAGGGGAACACACTGTGCTAAGCTCTGAGACCCAGAGAGGCATAAGCCACGGTGTCAGTCCTCAAGGACCTACCTTACAATCTTGTACTTGTTATATAGTGTAATATAAATTTCAGACAATACAAGCGAGCATTTGCCTGTGACGAGTGTTGCAGAGTTCTGAAGCTGGGGTGAGTATTTAGAGGCGAATTTCCACTGAGTGTGGCGAGGGCATGGCAGTTACCTAAGAACACTGAGGACCTCCGCTGTGCTTATTTACTGGATTGTTCCCATTCCAGGGATAAAGATATGACAGAGACGGTCCAGGCTCACTTGGGATTAATTAGCTGCCTTAGCCACTCACAGGCCTGGGTTTCTTTTTAATGTTTGTATTTACCTCAGATTCTTTTTTGCCCTCTTGAGCCATTTGGGCCTTTCAAAGGCAGACACTGAAGTGGAATTGACTTCCATTCGTATGTGGAATGCTCATTCCCACTGAGAGTCGACCCCAAATTTTGTTTTCCAAAGCCACTGAGAAGGCCTAGTCTATCTTAGGTATTAAAGGAAGAAGGTCAGAGCTGCTGTTGCTTCTGCTTTGTTTCCTTCGAGTTCCCTCTCTGCCTCTCTTTCCCTCTCACCGCACTCTACCCTTTTATCCCTGTACCTTGGGATGCCCTAGGGCTGATACTGTTCTTTTTGGGAGAATTCCAGGGAGATTGCTTCAGAGGTGGGTTGGTCCTGGTGGGCCACTCGGGAGGAGCCTCTGAAAGGTGGCATTTATGGCCCTGGTCACTGTGAGTACCTCCCCACCTCACTCCTTTACCAACTCCTAGCTGGGAGGAGATAGAGGCGTCTGTCTGAAGACTTTGGGTCTGAACCCTAGGCCTCTCCCTGGGCCCTGGGATGGCTAGTGTCTTAATTCAGTTCCATCCAGTGTGATGAGTATTTATTGGACATCTGTCACGTGCCCTCCAGAAGGTGACCATCTGGTTAGAGAGAAAGACTTACATCTGCAATGCAATTTGAGGCTAACACAAGACTGTGTAGTGTAAGGTGCTATCTTATGGTGCAGTCGAGAACACGGAAGGACAGGAGAGATCAGGGAGGCTGGGGGAGTAGGGGAAGGTAGTGCTGGAGCTGAGCCTTGAGGGACGAGCAGGGCTTGGCTATGTGGAAAGTGCTGGCATCAGAAGGAACATCATGAAGGAACTGCTGGGGCCCAGCAAAAGAGCAAGTCAAACCAGAGAGAGTTTGGTCAGAGTTTCGGTCAGATTCTCCTGATGAGTTAATACCCTATTACCCAGAACAAAGGGTGGAGCGCCCTTTAGTGGGTCTCAGTGGCAAACTTGTGAATATGTTTTAGAAGTGAGTGACCTGCCTTCCTGTGTTGTGTTACACATGATAGATACGTATGTATGCTGATGACTGGCGCTTTCACAGGGGAGAACTGAAACAAGGATGTGGGCAGCCGATGGCGCAGCGTCCGCGCGCCCGCACATCTTTGTCTCGCAGTCCCTTCTGGGTCTTCTACCTGCCCCCGCACCACTGCCCCCAGCTTATCAATTGCAAAGGAAGCCAGCCATAGACTGGAACCGGCCTGCCCCCGGTCCTGGAAGATACCTGATATTCTCTGGAAAGTGAAGGCCAGAAACGGGGAGGAGAGACTAGGAGAAGAGGAAGGAAGGTTGGGTTCTGCTTTTCCGGACATTTCACTGCTGAAGGGATTCATGGTCCGGGGCTGATGGAGGAGGGAGCAAAATGGGCAGGGTGGGAAGAAGTAGCGAGGAACCTCGATGACATTTGTCACCTTCTACCCATGGGGGTGTCGCCGACACGACTCCAGGTCCCCCAGCTGATGTTTCTCTCCCGTCTTCACCTCTGCCTCTTTCCTCCTAGGTAGGTTTTGAAATGCCCCTGCAGATATTTCTATGGAATGGCAGCAGTGGAGTGGTGGTTTGTACCTCTGGCTAGGGTGACAAAGGCATCTGTAGTGCCTTTTCAAAATCCAGATTCTTGGGCCACACTTCAGACCTGGGGGAGCCGGGCATGGGAACTTAGAACCTGGACTTTCCCTAAGCTCCCAGGCAATTCCGATGCACTGAAGTGAGGACCCCTACCCCACTGTGTCGGGGTCTGTGGTCCAAGGCTTCCTCCCTGGAGTTTGGCCCCGCAAGCTGTGCCCTTTGCCCCTTCTTCCCCCCACCCTTCACCCAAGCACCTGTAGAAACTTAAGTAGTGAAGTCTTCTGTTTTATGTCACAGCTTCTCCTTAGTTTCTTTTCACCATCATTCCCGGGGGCTTCTCAGGAACATTCTCCCGATATCCTGAAGCTGTTGGCACCTCACCCTAGATTAAAGGAACACGTAGAGTCATTGGCTACTGAAGGCACCAGCCATAATCTACCAAAGTTGTCACAGGTAAAACTCCACTCACCCAGCTCGCTCGTGACTCTTCGTTCGGCTGTTTTGTGGGCAAACATGGGGAGTGAGCCCTCACTCTCCTACCTCATTCGGTTCCCGAGAAAGAAGAAATGGAGTCGCTCATGGCTGCGTTCTTCGCTAGAAGGCTATTTCCTAAAGATGAAATTGGATTTTAGGCGGGGGCCCGGGGTTGATGATTTATTACGTTCAGTTTTCAGTTCTTGGTCGGATCCAGCTGAAAGAGAGAGTTGACAGAACTAGAAAGGATCTGGCCCACTTCCCCTGGAGCCCTTCAGTCGGGGTGGCTTTATCAGCTTAGGGGCGGAGCCTGGGAAGAGGGCCTGACAGCCCCTCCTTTCCTGCTTTTTGTTTGTGCAAGCTGCTCCCAGCTAAGTTCCTTGTGCAAAGACAACTCCATTTGATCCCCAAGGGGAGGTAATTTCATATTCCTGCACCGTGTCTTACACGTAAGTAGACTTCCAATACATATTTGGAGCGGGGGAGAGGGAAGCGACCTAGGAAGTCGCAGGTATTTGAGTCTTTGAAAACGATGGTCTCCAGGCCCTAGCTTTCCCAGCAGAGGGCAAGTGGGCAGAGGCTGGGGCTCAGAAGGGCAGACGTGAAGGCAGAGTTGAGCTCTGAAGGTCTAGGCACCTCGGGACCTCTGCCTGCCCACCATCTGTTTTCCGTGTTCCTCCCCTGTATGTGAGCCCTGGGGTCTCTGTGGCTTCTTGGATTCTCTGACAGGTGAGAATCTTACATCTCCCTGACTTCTTTCCCCGCTCTGGAGAATGAATAAAATGCAGGTGTACCTGACTCAAAAAAGGGTGGGGGGGGGCAGAACTTAGAGTATCTCCTGAAATCAAAGCACCCCTAGTGCATCTCAATACGTGTTTGAGATCATTATTACAGGATTGAGAGCCCTAACACTGAACCAAAGTCCCTGGGGTGACTTCTAATGGCAGCTCAATCTGAAATGAAGAAAAGTAGCACCCCTGGCTTTCCCATGTGAGCCAGCTGGGGAGCAGGGATTGGGTTTCCACCCAGACTTTGCCTTGCAAAGCGGTGTACCGTGTAGACTATGCCTGAGGCTCATGGAAAGGATGCGGCAGTGCCACAGTGCTGGAAAAACCCCTGAACTCCCCAGGTTAGGGACTCAGAAAACCCACATCCTTTTCCTCCGTGCCTCATCATTTTCTCCCAGCTGTGCACTGCCCATTTTTCATCTATCTACCAATTTTTTTGGTTGGAGTTGGAGGGGAGAAAACAGCGTGAGCGTTTTGACCCATGTGCTGTGGATGTGGAGTAGAGAGGGGTTCTCTAGGTAAACCTGCATAAACACCTTGTCATTGGATTTGTTTTTTTCTAGGTCCTTCTCCTGGACAAAAATTCTTTAAAAGGCTAGAGACATTATGGATCGTTTTGCCAAATGATCTTGTCTCTTTTTCAGACTTCTCACCCCAAATCTAGTGAAAAGACTAATTTGTCCCTAGTTTGACCAGTATAACACATAGCTCTGGAGCGTGAGGGCACTCGGCAGGCCTGTGAACACACCTGTGCCAGAGCCTTCCCGAAAGTTCTTTGGGAGTTGGGTGTGGGGCTCGAGGAGGGCCCGGAATGGCAGTGAGGGTGAGAGGAAGTACTGAGTGGCTGGATGTACCCTGGCTGCACTGCATGCCTTGGTTTCCCCCAGGTAGTGACTGGGGACTGATTTGGAGGGGAGCGGGGCCTGGCACTGCACTTGCCATCACCCCCTTCAGCGCGGCCCAAAGACTCTCTCCCCGCACGCCTTTCTGTCCTCGCCTCGGACAGAGGTTCCTCCGCTCCGCCCCAGCTGGGCCTGCCTGTGCCCTGTGACCGCCCATCAGTTAAGCTACACGTCCTCTAGATGATCAACACTGTGCGGTATCTTCTCATTGTGCCCCTGGGGAGAAGTATCAGAGGACGACGTTGGTCATGAGTAGATCCTGATGTTCGGCTCTTCCTTTCCAGGAAACGCTGGAGCGCCCACATTGTTCTGGTCAGGAGACGGCAGCAGCCGGGGGGCACAGAGGCAGCCCGGTGAACCTCGTGCCGGTGCAAGGGGACAGGCAGCAAGACGGCCCCGAAGACCAGGATGGAGCGGAGGAGGAGGGGGCCGCTGCCTCTCCCCAGGCTGCCTCCAGCAAGACCGGCAAACGCCAGGGGAAGAAAAGGAAGCGCGGCCAACTCGAGCCCCAAGACCCCGAGGTGCCTAGGAAAGCGTCTAAGGCAGGTGCGGACTCTCCCCGGGGGGCAAGCGGCTCGGAGGAAGGCCCGGCTCACCACTATGCGGAGGTCCCTCACCCTCCACGGGAGGGCCCCACGGCTCTGCACGGGGCCCAGCTCTCAGCTCTGCCGCCTCCAGGGTGCCTGTGGGGCTTCTGTGAGAGCACGGCGTCCAGTAGTGACATCTCATGCCCTCGGTGGTGTCACCTCCTTCCAGGCCAGCCTCTGGCTACCCCCATCCCCATTCCGGGAACGTAGGACAAGGGCAGCGCGATCAGGCCTCACTCCGCTCCTTCCCAGTCGTGTTCCCGTAGGCAGGCATCTGAGAAGCGGCAGCCGCAGCTTGATACCTTTCCCAGAGCGGCTGGCAGTGCCAAGATTCAGTGTCAGCTCTGAAGGCCTGGCTCAGTCCGCGGAGCTGCTGCCGCCGCCGCTTGTTGAGTGAGGCGCCTGTTGCATTTGAAGGAAGCCCCCAGGGCTCCGGACGGTCCCTGACTTGCGCGTCTCTTTATGGGACTGTTGGAAGCCCGTGAGCGCCTGTTTCAGGGTACCCCATTCTCAGTGGCTCACGTGCCCACTCAATCAATTCTCTGGGAGGTGGTGAGAGTGGCAGGCTGAAAAAATAATGGGGTTCTTTTGCCTCAGAAGTGCTGTTTGTGAAACCAAGGTTGGTTCAGCTCTGACTTCTGCTCTCTAAACCACAGATCCTCCCGCTGCTCCGGGGGCCAAACCTGCTCTCAGTGTTCCACTCGCATCTTTTGACGCCTCTGACCTTGAATGCTCCCTCTGTATGAGGTATGTGATGTGTACTGTCACTGCCTGAGTGCTCTTCCCCTCTGGAGTCGGGACTTGTCTGCTAGTGAACTACTGCTTGGTTGGTTAGCACGGAAAAGCGTGGTTCTAACAAAATGGAAATCACGCCGTTAACTGTCACACGGGCTAGCTTGTGTCCCTTGCTTACAGAATGCATTCCCCGCACTCCTGACTTGGAAATACCTAGAGAGTAGAAAGGAAACGGTCTACTCAGAGGTCACAGACTGACGGCGCACAGGCTGGATGTCTTTTGTTCGGCCTTCACGGGATTTGGGGGCTTGTGAAAGGTGAATGTTTTGAGACAGGACACGCACTCCAGTTGGTCACGGCCCCCCTCCCATGGCCACTGCCTTACACCAGCCTTCCTCTCGCATTTGCTTTGCTTTCCGGGCGCCTTGTAGGCGTTTAAGTTTGTGACCCTGGAACTAATCTCAACTGGCTACTTGATCAAGGTCTCAAAGCTCAAGGGCCAGTGTCAGCACCACAGGCCTATTCTTTGGAAGCCAAGAGAGGGCCTGACTAGTTTTTGTTCTGTGCCCTGCACAGTAGTCAGTAGTAGGCATGTACTGCTTGGCCAAGCGTCTCTCCTCCACCCACTGCCACGTCATCTCTACTTTCTCAGACCTCTGGACACACAAATTGTCCACATGCTGCCCACCCTCCAACATACACAAAAAGGAAACTGCTACAGTAGTGGTCTGTGCAAAGAAATGACTTTCACTTGTTTCATTTCACAGCTATGGCTTTGTGGCTAAGAGGAGCTGCTCCAAAGCCAGGGTGCCTGGGTTTCAACCGAGGCTCTGCCACTTACTGGCTGTTTGACCTGGAGCAAGTGACTTTCTCTGCCACTGTTTTCTCATGAGTAAAATAGAGAACAGTAGTACCTGCTCTATGGGCTTGTTATGATTGAGAAAATCTATTTAAGACACTTAGAATAGTGCTTGACATATAGTAAGTACTCAATAAATGTTAACTTTTTTTCCTAGACCAGAGGTTCTTTAGCTTTAAGGTCCACGGACCCCTGAGGGGGTTCTGTCTATGGATTCTAATAGATCTAAGAATTCCCTGCAGTTATATGTAAAAGTGTGTGTGTGTGTGTGTGTGTGTCTGTGTGCGTGTGTGTGAGTTTTCCAGGACGAGGTCCACAGCTTTCAGTAGATTCTCAAGTGTGCCTTATTCCCCCCAAAAGAGCTTTAAAAGGAGGCTGAGATATTTGCACAAAAGTTGTTAAGATGGTTGAACCAAGAGAAGAGAGGTCAAGAAGAATCTTTCGGTCCACCACACAGATGGATCCAGCCAGCGGAGGCTCCTCAGAGGTCTTCTTGCCCTTTACAAGCACATATGCCTTCCGTATCAATCCCAGGCATACTCGGAATGACTTTTCTTGTCCTCTGAATAAAATTGAGTAAGGTAGCCATTACCCGAACACATACTTTTTCTCTCTCTTAAAAAAATTAGAGTTGTCAGATTTGCTCATAAGCTCAGACAGACTCGATAAAGAAGGTAGCAGCAAGCCTTCCATATACTGTCTGAGTTTAGGTGGAGTGGGCGAGGGTAGGATGGGCTGTGTAACCAGTTCCCCCTCCCCCTCACAACAACCTAGCAGACAAATGGGCCTCCACAGGTAATAACGCTTTTGTGGCTCTCAGCCCGCGATGTGAGCCGTGGTCCTTCAGATGTCAGCCTTTGATAGACTTGATTCAGCTCACTCAGAAAGCCTGGGTCTTTGGTGTACTTATCCTCCTTAACACTCCTCCGGGCATCCCAGGGCCGCAGAATCAAACACGCAGACTCATCCTGTTTGTGTTTTCCCTGAGGGCTAAGAATCCTGAGGTTGAAGTTCTTTTGTTCCCTTTCCTCTGCTTTTCTCCCTTTCATCTTGTTTGTCCCTGATCTCAACAGGGAGCTTCAGAGAAGGATTAGAAATTTGGTCCAAGAAATAAACACCAAGAGGATAAGACCCCCTTCTAGTTGGCTCGCTCTGAGTTTAAAAGCCATTATTTCCCTTATCCTGCCCCTCTGTTCTAAATGAGACTTCAAAGCAAAAACCCATCTCTGCCTGGAGAAGTTATTGTATGGGCTGGTAAGTTACCGGGGCCGGGGGTGGGGTGGGTGGGACTCTAGCTGCTTTACGGTGAAAAGAAGCCTGCCAGGTCTAGAGAACGTTTCTGATCGCAAGGCTCTTACAACTGTAGCCCTAGTTCAAAAGCATGTAGTTCCCCTTCCAACAGGGCTTGTCTCCAAGTCAGAAATCACATATCGACAGAGGCCATTTCAAATATATGCTTTAGCTGGAATTATTGCAGTCTTGGAAAAGCTCCTGTTTCTACCTCTCTTCAGTGCTTTTCTTTTTTAAATTGTTATTAGGATTATTATTACGTTCCATTATGACCCTCATGTGTCTTTGGTGGAGAGGGTTTAAGGGTAGATATTTTCAAACAATCTGCCGAGTCATGAAACTGTAGACATTTGTACCTCCTGTGCAGGTTTCTAGAATGAAATCCAGTGGCCGTGGTGCTGCATTGGTAGAAGACAAGTTAGAGTGTGAATTTATTTGTTCTGATTCTAGAGGGAAAGTCCCGAGGGGCTTACAAATTCCTCAGGGAGAATGGTGGAGAGAGTGAATGGAGCAGCAGTTGGAGGGTGAGCTAATGAGAAACTTTCCAGTCTCCATTCCGAGTTTCCCTTGCTGGATCCCTTGCTGGACGGGGAGAGCTGTGCCGAGGGAAGTCACTCTCTGCCCCTCAGTCTTCAGTGAGTGCAGATCCTCCCTTGGGATTTACCTGCTCCAGATATCCTAGCCCTGGGGGCCACCTCTGGGGCTGCTGTGGAGCAGGACTTTTGGGGTGACAAGGATATTTTGAGATGTGGAGCAAGAATGTTTGATATTTGAACCAGTTACCTAATGGCCCAGTGACCTCTTTGTCAATTGAAATGAAAAGCTTTATATTTAACCTAGTTTTAGCTGCTCAGTTCTCTCTCTCTCTCTCTCTCTCTCTCTCTCTCTCTCTCTCTCTCTCTCCCCCTGCCCCCTCCCTCCTCCTCATTCCCTCTTTGCTCTCATTTGATAGCAGCAAAAGAGCACAATACAAGGATGTAACTGGTGGGAAAAGATAGCTATTTCCAGACAGGCCAAACATCTTATCCGGGCTGACATCTAACTGAAAGCATTTATTATTACTATTGTTTACTCCATCACTGTGACAATGTAAAATGCTCTCTTGTGAGAAAATCTGGCCCTACTCTGGTTTATAAATGCCCCCCTGAAGTGTTTTCCGAAATCATTACCTAAACTGGTAAATAAAAGGGAGAGGGATTTGAGTATATATCTATTTCTAGCTCTGTCTACATAGAGAGAGTTTCTCTCTCTCTGGCAGTGGGGAGAAGGAAGGGAGAGAGACAGAGGGAGAGAGGAAAGGGTGTGTGTGTGAGTGTGTGCACCTACATATACACGGATGGTGTGTGTTCTAGATATAGATGAACACAACAGTCGTGGCTGTGTCATGTAGTGGAGAAGGAAGATGGGCTTGTGACTCACGTGTGACTTAGAATCCCAAGCCCTGATACTTATTAGCTAGCTGTGTGACCTTGCACAAGTTCTTTAACTTGTCTGAGTCCTAATTTCCTCAATAGTAAAATGGAGCTAGTCCAATTATTGCCTGTGACTGTATAAAGTTAATTTATATGAAAAACAGTATTGTACACATCCAGGATAGCGAGAGAAATATATTCCATCTCTCCCCAGTCACTTTACTCAGTCAGCCTGAATATAGAAGTGGGTTGAGTATTGAAAGATGATCTATTCTAAGCATCTGAACCTTGAATTATTTCAAAGCAATAATCATGCAGCATCTGTGGCAGCATTCTTGTTTGTGACCACTGAGATCAGGAGCATTTTAATCATAGCTCTTGCTAAGAGTTGCTGTATCCTTCTGTGTCTGTTTCATTCGTCTGCTCATTAATTGTCAGTATTTGTTGCAATTAATTGGCCAGCTATATCATTATTATTTGTATGTGGATTACATTCTTCAATGAACAAAAGGCTTGAAATTCTCAAGAAAAATCGTTTTGCAGATACAGATTCATCAGTCAGTCTTCATCATTAGCGTCGTCAAGTAATGTATAAAAAGCATTCGGATTCATAGGTCTCAAATTACTGAGGAAATGAGATCATCTGCTTTGGCTGCTTCTAGGAGTTAGATCACAGCAGTAGTTCCCAAAATCAGCCTGCAAATCTCAATTTTGAAAAACACTTTAAATTGTGAAATAGACACAGTGGGAAAGTATGTAAAAATATGAATATATTCTCTTAACAAAATATTGTAAAGAGGATACTCATGGAACCCCTCTCAGCCCAAGAAATAAAACATTGCCAGGACTCCAGAAGCTGCCCGTGTGCCCCTTCCAAAGCATGACACCCCCCCCCGACACTGAAACCACTAACTTGACACCTTTGTATGTATCTCTAAACTGTGTAATTTCGTTTTTCCTATTTTTAAAAAAACTTCATATAAGTTGAATTATTCAGAATGGATTCTTTTTTTGTGGCTTCTTTTCCTCAGGATGAAGATTTATCCATGTTATTACATGTAGGTGAAGTTTGTTCATTTTCATTAGTGTATAGTGTCCCATTGTATGAATCGACCAAAATCAGTTATATTCTGGATGGATATTTGGGTTGTTTCTAGTTTAGGGCTATTATGGACAGCATTACTATGAACAGTTTTTATGTCTGCTGGTGCGTATGTAACTCTTTGCCCAGTTTTGATTGGGTTATCTCTCTTTTTCTTACTGACTTGTAGGAGCTCTATGTATGTTCTACATATAAGTCCTTTGTTAGTCACGTGTGCTGCAGATATCTTCTCCCGCTCTGGCTTGCCTTCTTGCTCTCTTAATGGCCCCTTTCGACGCGCTAACAAGTTCTTAAGTTTAATGCAGTAACAATGATCACTCTTTTCATTTACAGTTAGCTTTCTCGTGTGTGTGTCCTGTTTAAGAAATCTTTTTCCCCCCCTTGAGGTCAGAAAGATGTTCTATCTTGTCTTCTAAAAGCTGTACTGTTTGCCCTTCACATTTATTTTTACAGCCCACATGGAATTGCTTTTTGTGTATGGTGTGAGAGGCAGTCCAACTTCTTTGCCGCCTATGGATAGCCAACTATCCCAGATAGCGTTATTGAGAATGCTATTTATGTATTGAAAATCCTCCCTCTGCTTTGAAGCGCCACACTTGTCATAAATCAAGAATCTGGGTCTCGGTCTATTTCTGGGTTTTCTTTTCTATTCCACGGATCTATTTGTCCTTGTGCTAGTCTTACTCTGTTTTAATCACTATATAGTAAGTTCTGATGTCTGGTAGAGCGTGTCCTCCTACATCGCTGCTATTCAAAAGTGTCTCAGCTCTTCTTGGCCCTTTGCCTTGCCTTATAAAGTTTAGAAATCAACTTGCCAGGTTCCACAAAAACAAACAAACAAGTAAAATAACCCATTGGGGTTTTTATTGGGACTCAGTTAGGTCTTCTTTACTTTCTTTCAATGAAATGTTTACAGTTTCTTTCAATAGACGTCTCATAAACTTTTGTTAGATTTATTCCCGGGCACTCAATTTTCAAAAGCAATTGTAAATGTCACCTTTTCAAAAATGTATTCTCTCATGCTTGTTGCTGGTATATAGAGCTACAGTTGAATGGGGTGTGTGTGTGTGTGTGTGTGTGTATTTCTCTAGCTTCTTTGCTAATTCTATCAATTCTTATTCTAATAATCATTCTATAGATTCTTCTAGATTTTCTAAGTTCATCATCATACCATTTGTGAATAACAGCAGATTTGCTTTTCCCCTTTTAAGTCCTCAAACTTTTTTTCTCCTTGCCTCAGTACACTGGTTAGGACCTTCATCAAAGAGGTTTTCTGAAAATTAATTTTACTTTTTGACCAATTTAGTAACTAAAATTTATTAACTCGGTTAAACAAATTAACTGCTTTTTAAACAGGTTGATAACATTTAAAAAGTAGAAAACAGTAAATATATGAAAAATCTCTCTCCTAGCCCAGACCTTCATTGGCTTGTTAAAAATATCAAATCTCTGCTCCTCCCCTTGACCTCCTGAATTGTAAACTTTATCCAGTGAGACTTTGCCACGTCTGCGTTTTCAAAGTTCCACCTGGGACTCTGATAATTAGGTTTGGAGACCAATAGAGTAGATTCGCCCACGCAGAGGTTAGTAGGATTGTATATACAGTGATTCCCAACCCTGGCTACACATTAAAACCACCCCAGGAGCTCGACAAATCCTGATGCCTGGCCCTTACCCTGGACCAACTGATCTGCATCTCTGTAGGTGAGATCCTGGGCCTCTGTAGTTTTTTTAAGTTCACCAGGTGATGGTGGGAGGGCGGTGGTCTGGGGAGGAGCAAGAGGGAGGGTTTACTCAGGGGCACAAGGAGACACTTGGGGGTGACAAGCATGTTCATTATCTTGGTTGTGGAGGTGGCCCCGTAGGTGTGTACGTGTGTCAGAACTTCTCAAGCTGTACGCTTAAAGTATGTGCAGTCTATACCTCTATGTCAATAATACATCTATAAAGCTATTTAAAGAAAAAGCAACACAGGTGGTTCTCACACACAGCAGGGGTTGAGAATCACTGTTCTAACAGAAAAGGCACACTACTGGAAGGGGAAGTCGTGTACCTTTTCTTTTTCCATGTCATCTGCCAACAGTTGGCTGTGTACTCTTAGATCAACCACTTCATCCCCTCTGGATCTCAGTTTCATTCTGATTGGCGGGTTCGATTTTTTTCTCAAGTACTTTTCAGCTCTGATGCTCTGATTCCTCTGTTCAGCCTGGCTGTGCGGGCCAGGCTGCTGGTGCACCTCCTGGCCACACGAGGGCGCTGCGCAGCCTGCAGCCTCTTCCTGTCAACTGAACACTCTTGTGAGGTCAAAATAGGCTGGTCAGGCGTCTTTCCCTTCTCTCTGTCCTCTTGGTGAGTGCGAGCTCCGCTTCTGAAGCATCATCTTCAGCTGCCCCCATCCAGTGGTCCTGCTGCAGGTGAGCCTTTCTTTAAGCAAAATAAATCCATGAATCTCTGAATGTACAGAACCGCTTTTTAAGAGATCCTCAGATTGCTTTGAAAAAATAGACAGCTCCTGCAAAACAATTAAAATAGGATCTAATTAAAGTATGTGTATACATACACATGTATATATGTATGTGTCTGTCTGTCTATCCATCAGTAAGCACATTAATAATATTACTCTGTTGTCCCTAGGAAAATGATCCATCCATATAAAAGGCAGTTATGTTTGTTACAGGTGCAATTTTGAGATCCTTCAGGCTGTAAACATTGCTTAGGTGAAAAATGGAATCAAGGTTAGCAAATAAGCCTAGTCTTTTTCCAGTGTAATATGATATAAAGTACTTAAATATGGGAGTGTGTGTTTGCTTATCTATGTGTTTACATATATTCAGGTGAACAGGTTGGCTGAATATTTTAGAATGGAATCTATTCAAGACACCCTGGGCATTCATCTTCATTTCTCTAGGACCTGACAGGGAAAAAAGTGTGGATGCCCTGGAAGAGACTGACTAGAACTAATGTTACAAAATGATCTAGCTATGTCCTAAATTTTAATAAATGCACAATTTAATGCATTTAAATCCAGCTCAGAAATAAAAAGCAAATGCTTTTCTGAACTGCAACAACAGCAGGGGTTTTTTTTAAAAAAAAAGGAAAAAGAACCACCCCCGCACATAGAATTTCCCAAATAATACTATAACACCTGAACATTGAATAGCTCTGTCTTTCATGTTTGGTCTGATTGCAGTTTTCTTGCCTTCTGATTCCTAAATTTCAGATTATTCTATGAGCCAGTCACAACACCTTGTGGACACACCTTTTGCTTAAAATGCCTTGAAAGATGCCTAGATCACAATGCGAAGTGCCCACTGTGCAAAGATGGTCTTTCGCAGGTAAAACGTTCTTTCTTTCTTGATTGGGTTAGCTTATTGGGAATTGGGTACGAAGACAGCATCCTATTGGATCCCAAGCCACTGCACTGTGCTAGAGCAAAACACCCCCTCAGACCATTTATTTCTCCTGTCTTAGAGCCACCCCTCCCCTCTCCACAAAGTCCTCCAGGGAAATGAGGCAACATCTAGCTTTTTATGAACTGTCAGTAGTGAAATTAATTTGTGTTGGAAACAAAAGTATCAAAATGATGATAAACATGGATTCTTGTTCTAATCCCATCATGGCACCTGATTCACTATCATGTTGGGTGAATCTTTTGTCCTCCCTGGGCTTGGACCAGATGAGCTCCGATGTCCCCTTATCATCAATGTTTATTCTGTGGTTTGAAGAGATCACTCCCAGGTCCCCAGGAAAACCTCACAGACCTTCATTGTGGTCCTTGCCCCACTCCTCAGCTGCCACTGTACTTATTAGCAGACATTTGTCTGCTGGAAAATCTCTGGGGCTTCCAGATTCTCTAAAATGAATCACCCAAACTGCCACCTTTGTCTTTCAAATGGACTTGCTGTAATTTTCTATAGCACAAGCAGATGTGGGCATCCGTCTTGTCCCCCCACCCCAGGGACTTGTGTACCATATTTTACAATCAGTATAAATGTTCCTTGACCCCTGTCATCCCTGAGGAGAGGTTGGAGATGATGCAAGGCTACCTCTAGGTGAATGTAGATCCAGAGGAGTCATGTGTCAAGCTTTCCCAACACCCCAACATTTAAATTAAGGGAAGGGAGTGCAATAATCATCCAGGATAGCCCTGAGGCTGTGTATTGGGCTGCCGGGCAGGGTCAGTGTCATATCTGGCCTAGGTGAAGAGGTGGTATTTGCTGTCCTGATTGTAGGTGAGAAGCCCATGGTCCTTATACTTCAATAATACATTGGTGTTGTGGCAACACTACAACATTCAGATTAACAGAAAGAAGGAAAATCTACCGTTAAAATTTTAGTATGTACCTTTACTGGGTTTTTGTTTCAGCATCAGCGGAGGAGTCACCTCCTTCTTGGAGAGGCTACCTCCTGAGTCATTGCTTTTCCCCAAAGACTGGGACTGGTCAAAGCAGCCGGTTTTTCTGCAGCCAGGCAATGGCAGTGGCTGAGAAGGCATCGTGGAGGCAGAGGCTGTGAGGTCCTGGACTTAGGGGCTAGAAGATATTCCCATCTATCTCTGTGTCTTCGCACAGGGTCACACTTGCACCATTTTCCAGAGAGAGAAATATCTTATTCCGATCATGTTCACTGCGGAATAGGCAGACGTAGCCCGTACTGGGAAAGGAAAAAAATGTCTGAAGCCTGCCGTTTTATACTCAGGAGCTCCCCCTGCTGGGTCTGTGTGGCTGGTTTCCATAGCCAGCAGTTCTCTGCAGATGTTTTCGTTCCCATTGCCTGGTTCACACAAACACCCACTCCTTGCAGATCCCTGGATATGCACGGACTAGGGGGTTTGGGAGGAGAGTAATAGTGACAATTGACAACTGAGCCCGAGTTAGGTTATGAAATCAGGGTTTATAACATAAATCCAGTGATACCTAGACGGTATAATAAAAAAAATAGGCAAATGAAATCACCAGTATCGCTTTTCTTTTTAAAACTAAAGTTAGAGGAGAAAAAACTATGTATAATATATAGACTTGAAATATCCCGAAGCCCAGGCACTGGGGTGGGGTTGGGAGTGGGGCACAGCAGGAAAGGATCAATAATTGAAAATTGCTTTTTAGTTCCCTGAACCTTTTGACCACGGACTTTCAGCATATCCCAGATGGAGACCATTTCTGGGAGCTTATAAACGCAATAGTCAGAAAAAGGAAAGGAAAGGATTTTCTCCCTTTTTTGACAAGAACATGATCTCAATCAATTTCAGCGTTGTAGGAAAGCTATGACATTTTTAAAACTCCATTGCAGGTCTTTTCCCCTTTTTAAAATAATTTTTCTAATTATAAAAGTAATTCATTGCATGTGGGGTTTTTTTAAGCTAAACTCTAACCTCCAGAGAATATATACATTATGATAGTATCAGCTGGGTCTAAATTACTCCCATATGTGGGACATTTAACTGTTCTACTGATTACATCAGAAGTGGTTTGTGTTTTTCTGTTGACTGCATAATATCTAATTGCCTTGTTCCCCGTATAGTGCTTGGCATCCAGAAAATACAGTAAAAATGTCATAATGGAAGAGCTAATAGCTAAATTCCTTCCAGAAGAACTCAAGGAACGAAGAAGGCTTTATGAAGAGGAAATGGAAGAACTTTCTAAGTATGCATATGCACATTGCTGTTTTCAGTTTCACTCATACCAGGTCATAGAACTGAAAGTGTACATTCCCTCCTAACTCCTCATTTAGTGATACCATGTTGGTAGCTTGAAATTGACCACAGTGAGAGTATTTAACACCACAGAAATTGGCAAATGCTGTAACAAGGGCTTACCCGCTCCATCCTCAGAAAGCGAGTTGTTCATTTACCAGCATCCACTGAAGAAACCTAAGCCGAACCACTGACCAGGTCACATATTGGCACTAGTAACTGGGTATCACGGATACCAAATTATTGGAATAATTTAATCAGGGGGGCTTAATGAAGTGCAGTTGACCCTTAAACAACATGGATTTGAACTGCACGGTTCCACTTATGCGTGGGTTTTTTTCAGTAGTAAATATCATAGTCCTACACTATCCGATCCGTGGTTGGTTGAATCCACGAATGCAGAACCGCGGATACAGAGGAACTTCGGATACCGAGGGCGACTCTAAGTCATATGCTGATTTTCAACTGGGCAGAGGGTTGGCGCCCCAACCCCCGTGTTGTTCAAGGGTCAGCTGTATCCAGAAGACGGTTTTCAGGTACATAAGGAGGTTCTATGAGGTTAAGAACTTTGATATCAGCCAGACCTGGGCTTATGATGCAGTTTTGCCACAAAGTGAGTATACTTCATGACCCTAGGCAAGTCACTTACCGTCTCTGGGCCTCAATCTCCTCATCTGTAACTTGGGGATAATAACAGACTTGGACTTGTTATGAAGATCAAATGAGCTAGTGCATAGTAAGCACTTACTAAAAGCAATAGTAAGAATGCTGCTTGTTATTATGCTTCCTCTTCCATCACAGGTATTGTGAGAGGTAGAGAGTAGGGGTGGAGAAAGAAGTAAGGCTCCAAGCTCTCTGCCTGGCCGGAAGAACAACTCACCTAGCAGAAAAAGCAGGAAGGAAATCACTGATTTCTGTCTCTCATACTGCTGACCCCCCATCTCCCCATCCCTGGTGGGATTCTCACAGCATTCTGGGGGCAAAGTTCCCGACGGCAAAAGCTGTTGTGGATTTATGCTCACCCTGTAGAGAACATTTCTAAACTGCCACCAGTTCGTTTGTGCCTCTCACTTTGAATAACACGCTGTGCTGGGGAGCCAGAAATGAAATTGTTCTTTGCTCATTAACATATTAGATCTACTCAAGGCATGTTTATCTTTATTTCTGATTCTTAAGTTCACCTTGAGTCTCTCTGGGCCCTCTTCTCAAATACCATTTAATGTCTGATTGACAAACACTGGAATATACTAGGTGGATTTCTCTTAAAAGGAATCCTAAATTTAATCCTTTTGAGATTTGGGCAAATGATCTTATATATCTATTGGTAAGTTTATGTTCAGATGTCCCTGTATTGGATAAAATAACAGTGATCCAGGAGGAGCTGGCCCGATTGGTGGTTCCCCATCAGGCCATGTGTCTGAGTCTTCATGGGCACATGTTGAGAGGCAGACTCGTAGGTATCGATTTCAGAGCTACTGCACCAGTGTCTCTGGGGGGGTGCAGTGGCCTGTTGTCTGCGTTTAAGGGCCTCCGGTGATTCTGATGCACACACAGGAGTGTTTGAACATCACTGGGCTAGATTACTCTTGCCTCTCCACTGCTCCCTCCTCCTCCCAGCTGGGCCTGCCATGCAGATCCTCTGGGGGCTTTGCAAATATGTGAGATGTTCACGGGGGTCTTGCAGAGATTTTCCCACCATTCCTCTGGAGAGCTGGGTCCACTTTTACCACCCTTCCCCATACTGCCAGCAAGACACCTGGAGAGATTGTTTGGAGTGGAGAGCATGAAAGAAAGAAAGAATAATATGAGGTATAACTATCACCGACAATGTTAAGGTACTAGAGAACTTCATTACCCAAATTAGAATGTGTAGAATGTCAATTTTAATCGTAGCCCTTAGGCTAACCTGTGCACGGGATAATGGGATTCAGCCCACAGCACCAGATGCATTTTAGTATTTTTTATCAGTCTCAACCTGATGTCTCCTTGCCTTCCTGCGGGGGAACCACATGGTGAAATTTGACCAGCCTTTCTGTGTTCTGCTTCAACGCTGTGAGATGCATGTCCTTTGCTCTTCCTGACAGCTTAAATAAGAACGTGCCTATTTTCGTGTGTACCATGGCATATCCCACGGTTCCTTGTCCCCTGCACATCTTTGAGCCTTGTTACCGTCTGATGATTCGTAGATGCATTGAGACAGGCACACGACAGTTTGGCATGTGCCTTGGAGATCCTGTCAAAAGGTAAGTGAGGAGCTATGCAAGTAAAGGGAGGTTGGGTGGAAAGGGTTTTTTGTTTTACTTTGGGGCCCTCCCAGGAGCATTTGTAAGGATCAGGGTCCCTCTGGCCCCTAGTTTACCGTGTGAGAGGCTGCCTGTTTAAAGGAACCCCAGGATCAACCTTTTGTTAAACAGGTGGTATATAGTCTAAAACGTGTTTTATAAGAGTGTGGTCCCTGGAGTCAAACTGCCTGGGTTCATGTTCTGGCTCCATCCTTGGAGCAAGTTTGACTTCGGGCAAGTTACTGAACCTTCGGTGACTCAGTTTCCTTATCTGTAAAGTGGGTACAATAATAGTGCCTACCTCGTTGGGTTTGTTGGGAGGATTGGTGAGTTAATAGTGCACATATGAGCACAGTACAATAAATGGTAGCAGTTACACGTTAAAATTTTTTCTCATACAGGCACTGCCTGTGGTGTTATTGCAGCTATAGACCCTGGGACAGGCAAGAAGGCAGAAGTCCCTCAAGGCCCAACATGGGGTTATAAAAATGGGGGGAGGTGCGCAGGCCAGGGAAACAGCTCATCAAGAATTTACTTTCTTGAGTCCATTCCCCATAAACAGGTTTGCGGAATATGGCTGCATCCTAGAGATCAGAAATGTTCAGTTCTTTGCTGATGGCCGCTCAGTGGTCGACAGCATAGGCAAGAGACGCTTCAAGGTCCTCCATCAGGGCCAGCGGGATGGTTACAACACAGCTGACATCGAATACATTGAAGACCAAAAGGTGAGGGTGGTCAGTGCCACGAATCCTGAAGCCAAGCTAGCCCCGTAGCTTGGCAGACCAAGATGATTGCAGAAGGATTTCTGGGCATGGATGGGGGCCTTGGGATGTCTCACCGATTTGCTGCTGCCACACTGAATGCTGCCAGGCTGCTGTTCGATTGTGGAATGGCAGTGACTGCGCCCCTTGTCTGGGCTTTCCCTGCTTAGTTGCTGATTTATATTCATGCATAAGAGATGCCAAGCCAGGCCAACCCTGGGGCCCATTCAGCATAGGAGTTAGGTCTCTGCCAGGGATACCAAGATCTGGAGCTGGATCTATACATATGTATTTTATTTTTTGCTTTATTTATATTTGAAACCTTTTTCTTTTGAGATAATTGTAGATTCACATGCACATGTCTATTTTTAACTCTGCAGCCTGGCCAAGAGCCCTTCCCAATAATCCATCATCCCATAAGGCAGAAAGATGACATGTCCAGTTAATCCTTGGTTTTCTGAACTAACGGGTAGAAGAAGGGGTAAATAATCCCGTAAGTGTTTATATTTACATTCACTACACAATACAAGATTAATAAACATTTGCTCAACGAATAAATGTATTTGACATGGAAGATAAAGTTACATACGGAGACACAGACACTGCTCCCTCTCTTCCCGGGGAGCAGTGGGAAAGCAGATGTTTAAACAATGAAAAGGAGAGAGGCGTGAACAAGCACAACCTAGTTTAACAGCACGCCTCCACTCAGGCCAGTTAGCATCACTGGTTTTCTATATGTCTGGCTGTTTCAGCTCATTTACCCAGCTGAACCTTTCTCTGTCCTCCACCCTCAGCAATATTTACACACAGTCCATCCTCCGGCTGAGGAGCCTTTCACACACTACACAGGAGAAAGCCAGAAGGGTGAGTCTTCCCGTAGGATGACAGGCTGGATGCTCAAATAGGCAGGTGTCGAAAGGGGCTCTAGGCATGAGGGAGAAGGTACAGAATGCTTCACTTCCACTTTGATACTTTCAGGTTCAAGGAGAGGATTGTGCTGAGCTCATGGGATTACATAACTGTGTCTATGAGCAAGCGTCGTCATGGTTTCATTCACTCAAATCATCTCTGAAGAATCGGATACTCAATCATTTTGGTCCAATGCCAGAGAAAGATGCTGATCCCCAGGTATATAAAAATGTCTCTTTGTAATCAGTCACCCCCACCAGATGAGAGAGCCTGGGGTTTGTGATTAGATGTGTGTGTGGTTTCCACCCAGCAAATTTAGCGTAGAGAGGAAGATGGATCCGAATCGGTCTTGTTCGACTGGGCGGTAGGCATCATGGGTGAGAACAAAAGGACCCCACATCAGAACTGGAGGAACTTTAGTAAAGCAGTAGGAACTTGGATCCAAGATAGGTTTTAAGAGATTAGTTAAGTGAGAGGATGGGAACACAGGCACCATCAACAGAAGAACCTTTAATTGTGAGTCCAGATTCCCACCATGATGATGTGTTAGGGTGACAGGATTCACAAAAGGCCAGGCTTAAGAGAAGGGTACCTAGGGAGCTGAGACCAAAGGCTGCCACTTCCTGGAGGCTTCATAACTCTCTCCCTGATTGCTGCAGGAGCAAGGAGTGAGGAGCTAGGGCCAGCCGCCTTACAGGCTTCCAACTGCAGGATCACAGAAACCTTTCACCCCCAGGTCCCTCCACGCTTAGCCCTGCAGGTCCAGACCCCTGCCATTGTCCTCATCAGGGATGAACAAGTTTTCCTGAGACAACTGACCCAATCCTTAAATTTACCCTTGGCTGAGTTATACTAGAAAAGAGTTCATTAGATTCTACTGGATCAGTCTATTTCCCGGAGGGACAGGTCCATTTGAGAGATCAAGCTGCAGATCTGGAGCTCTCCAGGAAAGTGGAGATAGTTAAGTTTCACCAAGCTTTGTTTGCCTGGTGTACGTCAGGGAATACTCTCTCTAGGACAAGGCTGGAGATATCCTAGTCAAATATTTTCCCACCATCACCTTTCCACATTCTGACCTGGTTCCTACATAATCGCCTCCATAACTTCCTGGATTCTTTCCCTGTACTCATTCCTGACTTTATCACAATAGTAAAATAGAATATGTATATTCTGACTTCCATGCCAAAAAACTGGTCCTACTTACCTCTCTAGCTGTGTGACCTCGGCTAAGTCCTTTCCCCTTTCTGACTTTTTCGCCCATCTCTGAAATGAGGGAGGTAGACGACGAGGTCTCTAAAGTCCCTTCTTCCTCTTGCATTCCGAGGCTGTAAAACACCAGTCTGTTCCCTAATGCGCTGCAGTGTCTTGGTTTCTCTGGGCCACAGAGGTGGCTCCTTTTCCCGCCCCCATTCAAAGGCATCGTGAATGTTGGAGGGAGAAAGGCCATTGCTTCCAGATGATCCAGCTCCTGGCTCTGGGCCACTGTGACTCAGGACTACGGCAGAGCTCTGAGAAGCCTCATGGTCAAGCTGAATGTTCCCCTTCACCTTCTGGAAAGCATTCTCCCCTAGTCAGGCAGAAGATAGCGATCAGCAGTGGTAACAGCATCTTCCACAAGACAAAGCACAGGTGCCACTGTGTGATTCATAAGGGCTCAGTGACACAGAAAGCCGAAATCTTGGGTTTCATTTCACTTCTTACTAGGACTGTTGCTTTGGCCGCAGCAGCAGCAGAAAAAATAAAACCCATCCAGTTTGATCGAGTCAATGCTGTAGCCCCAGTGGTCCCATTAATAAGAATGTTCTAAGCCTCTGCAGGAGGTTTCCTAGGAACCACCACATGTGTTCACATCAGCTTAAACATCTTTGTTAATGATCCTGGGAAATACAGTTCAGGATATGGCAGTCTAACATTCAGAACTCATCATAGGAGGGATAACACGTTACAGACTGCAGCGAGGGACAAAAAGAATCCAAATGGAGCTAGAGGCACAGAGAAGCAAAGAGGCAGTGAAGGTTGTGGGAGAATCAGGTGACCAGTTTGGAAGCAAACAATCCCGCGTGTAGAATGTGGTTCTCTGCGGTCCTAAAGCCAACCTTCTGAAGGGTGTGGGCAGAAAGCTCATTCGGGGCTTAGTAGGAAATTAAGTCACCAATGTCTGCAACGTGTACCTGGGACGCTGCTGACACACAGAATTTTGGTGCAGGATCACTGTAGGACAGGAAAGCTCTTTATTAGAGGAATCCTGGGATGGAATATATTTCTATGTGACTGTGTTTTCCAATTGGAATTTTTGCAAAGTGGGATCGCTGTGCTTTGGGGCTGTGAATCATAGGCTCTGGTTTTAGGGGAGAAGCTAGCCGTGGCCCCGTTTAGTGAGCTGGCATATGTGGACTCTGTTGCCTTCAGCCAGAAACAGGGAAATGGAGGTAAGAGACATGCAAAGCCTAAGGGGTCATGAGAACTGAAGACCCATATGCTCTATGCATCAGGCCAAAGGGCCTAAACAGAATCTAAGAGGTGGAAGAGGCTGAGTAGCTGTCTCTCAGTATCCATGGGGGTTTGGTTCTAGGAGGCCCCATGGATACCAAAATCCCTTCTATAAAATTATGTAGTGCAATGAGTACAGTCAGCCCTCTGCATCTACAGGTTTCACATCTACAGATTCAACCAACCAGTTTTGATCCATAGTTGGTTGAATCCATGGATATGGAGGGCCGACTGTAGTAGATAGTTCAGCTTGTAAAATCACACTGGCTAGAAGGTATGGTGTATTTGTTAGGAAACTGATGTGTTTGCTTTAATCACTACCAAAAATAACTGTAGCTTAAACTAGATAGAGAGTGTAAGTCATAGAGATGGAGGGCTGGGGCATCCCTGTTCCGTGAGATCATTCAGACCCAGGCTCCTTCCTGACAAAGCCCTTTGAGTGTTGCCCTCATCCTCCTGATGGAAGAAGACTGATCATCAGCATGTCTGTGTTCTAGCTAGGGGAAGGGGAGGGAAAGAGGAAATGAGGGCGCATGCCCCTTTCCCAGAGCATGGCCTAGAAGTCACACTTACCACTGCCTTTTACATCTCCTTAGCCAGGACTTTGTCTTATGGCCTCACCTAGCTGCAAGGGAGGCTGAGAAACGTAGCCTTCCCACCCCCACCCCCTGGGTGGCTGTATGCCCAGCTAAGATAAAGGGAAATAGAGATGGGGGGTAATTAGCAGTCCTTGCCACACACGGAAGCAGTTCCACCTGGGATGTTTCCTGGCAACTTTGGAAGCCTACAGGCTAGGATCACCTCCACAGGAATAAGACGAACCCATTGCATTTCTCTTGCAGATCAACCCCAATGGCCCGGCCTGGTGCTGGTGGACATTAGCGGTTCTTCCACTGGAAAGCCGAGCTCAGCTCCCGTTCCTAGCCATGAGGTCCCTAAAGGACAGACTGAACGGTATTCGGCGAGTCCTGGCCTTTATATCCCGAAACCAAAACTAGTGAGTGGATTGCTGAAAAGGAGCTCCCACGCTCCCCTCACCACCATGGGGGAGTCGTCTTGTAAATACACCTAACTGCAATAACATCTTAGAAGGAAGCATCAAACAGAGGCATTAGCGTGCTATTGATCAGAAAGAGATTAAGTAGAAAGACCAAAAGAATGTGATCTGTTTGAAACTTTCTTTCTTAAGATGCTTCTTGACATGCTGCACAACTACATGCACAGCAGAGGTTGTTTAAGAGCCCAGAAGAAAAAAAATTTTTTTTTGATTTTGACGTAAAATTTTCTCAAAGTTTAAAGTGATTTTGCTTTAATTTTCTGTCTTTCATAGACGAATGACTGTGTGGTTGAAATGTGATGCCCAGTTACTAATCATGTTGCTGCATTATTTCACTGACTTTTGAGGTGTCATTCCAAATGGTTCATATTTTATATAGCGTTGTGTAAAATAATGTTCATACATCCTTCTGTATTAATAATTTATTTTCTGCACTACCATATCCTTTTTTTCTACATGTATGTTTGTAACTATTTAAGTGTGCATTACTGAAAAATACTGCTTTATTTATTGATGTGGTTTACCATGTACCTAGGGGGAAGTAACAATACTAGAAATGTGCAATTTTTGCTTTAACAGTTTTTGCTACATTTGATCCCAGTTCTTGAACCATTTTTGTATCTATCCAATTGGATGCTTAAAGGAAGTTCAGAATCATGCCAAGATCATCTATCCTTACAGATTCTATTTTGCTTTCAGTTTGAATCCAACAATATAAAATACTTAAGGGATTTGGCATAGGTTGTGGAATAAGCCAGGGTACAATAAAAGTAATCCATTTTCTATGTGTCATACAGAGCCAGGATGAAGGAATTATTTTCCTGGAATCAAGAGATGAATTAGAGGAGTGTCTTCTATTACAATCTCTTATAGGCATTTATTTCAGCAATCTAATTACATCTTAATTTCTCCCCAGGGCAGTTAGTAATGGGACTTTCAGGCAGGATAATACTTAACCCTTCAGAGGTAATGGTTTTCAGTCTGGCGTGTCACAGCCATGCCCAGCTAGCCTCCATACCTCACCTCTTCTCAGGGTTCTGAGGATCAGGGCCTGGCTAGCGTGTGTGCAAACACTTGATGAAGGACGGTTCATTATTAAAAGTGTAAAGAAGCCAGGAAAGAGGGTAGAACCCTTTAAGAAACCCTCAAACTATCTTTTTGGCTTTTAAATCTTTTCAAAGGAAGCAATTAATCCATGATTTTATCTAAACACGGTCTTTCCTCCTCACTGAGATGGGCCAAAGATTTCAATACAGGGGAAGAATAGTGGTAAAGGGGGTAAGAGTGAGGTCTTGTTTAGCTTGCTTAGTGCCAGTTTGATTTCTTTAGTGCCAGGACAACCTGAAAACAGGAGTGTTATAATGACAGAGTGAAAAGATTAGGACAGCGAAGAAGTGAATCGTGTTGTTCCTACCTTCACGCAAATTATCCTCCCCCCATGTGACTCTGGACAGCTGCAGTGCGAGACTCCCACACAGCCCATCCACTCTGTTCCCGCTAGAGGTTAATGCCTCAGGTAATCAGTCTGGCTTCTTCCATCACCACCTGTGGCCAGAAACAGAAAAGGGAGAATGAGATGATCCAGGCAACAAAAAAGAGATTCATGTAAGCAGAAACCAAATAACCTTTTCTGCACTTTCTTAATGAACACCGTGTTGTCAGAACATTATGTTACCAGGTTTGATGTTTGGAGCCCAGCTGGGCTGGTAAAGAATGGAAGCATAGGTGTGGTTACTGCCTAAGCAAACTCTACAAGGCTCAGGTAGGAGGAAATGAAAGGCTCCCTCTCCCACCTGGTGCCCAACCATGTGGTCATAACACAGTCCTAGGACAGTAATTTCCTACTGTCTAGTGTAAATGCAAGAAAGAAAAGGGTCATAAGTGTCTTGGATTGCTAGATGTGTTACTTTTGTGATTTCAGTTTTTCTGAGCACCAGTTTGTCAACTAGCAAGTGGTGGGGATAAATACTGCATGTAGGGTTCTTATAACATTACATGAGATAATATATATACATCACTTAGCATAGTGCCTAGCACATAGGAGTCATTCAACAAATAGTAGCTACGATTAGATTATTCATAGTTACAAATATCATCAGGGGACTACATTGGCATAAAACCCTGCCTTTACACACAATACCCATTTCCAATTCCTTTAAACTTGGTTGGGGGAATCCACACCTCTGATTTTCAGACCATAACTTGATGAAATATTTACATGTAATGCCTTTGAGAGTCAAGTCTGTTTGGGAAAATGAAAAGACTGGAAAACAAATTAGGGTCAGAGATAAGGGAGAATCCCATACCAGCAAGTTTTTCCTCTTTCAAGAGGGCTAAAAATTAGTGTTGTTTGGAGGTCTAGAATTTCTGATATAACGAAAGCCTTAAGTTCTAGCTCCATTAGAATAACCATCTCATCACTTCCTGCTCTCCAAAATGTATAAAATTCCACATCATAGAATATTTCGCGTTGATAAGAGAGGACCTAACTCCAGCAAATGTAGCTTGGCTAGGCAGAATTGCACTTTTCTCTCAGTAGCCTGGATACACATTTGGACTGTTTTACAGCAAGCTTTTGTTTCAGTAGTGGTGGGAGGCAAAGTGCAAGGCTAAGCCTTGGCTTTCTTTGATATGTACTTGAATGGGGTAATCAGTTGGACATGACTATTTCACTACTTGTAAATTGATTTTGCTGCAAAGCTTGGGAATAAAGAGTATATACAGGAAAAACATAAAGTTAAATCTAGGCCAGAAGGACAAGACTTCCCCCTTGGTAGTTAGTGCCATTTATTCAGCTAATTTTCCTGTTTATTGTGATTTACCTAGTCTTTTCCTAGTAGGTTATTTTCTGTGTGTGTGTATGTGTGTGTGTGTGTGTGTGTATGTATATAGATGTGTGTGTGTGTGTGTGTATGTATATAGATGTGTGTGTGTGTGTATGTATATAGATGTGTGTGTGTATATATATATATATATGAGTGTGTTTGTGTATATATGTACATGTGTGTATATATATTAGGTACCAAGCAGACATTATGCCTTTCTGCTTTGTACTGTACTATTGCTGCTAGCTAATAACCAGCAAAATGTAGAAAATGAAAAATGATAAAACTAATTTTCTGTAGACAACTTGGAGAAAAGAGTGCTTGCTCCTTACTCAGTGGGGTAGAGAACTGACTGTGTCAACAGTTTGCCTTTTCTGAAGGCCGACTGCTTCTAGCCCCTTGCTGCTGCAGCATGCTGGGACTCATGGAATCACTGCACATGTGGCCCTTCCAGTTCTGCCTGTGGAGCCGGACTGGGCTCAGATAGTCCCATGTCGCTGGCTGTTGGAGCAGTGGAGCTCTGAGGCTGGTTCACAGCACTCAGAAGTCTCTTACTGTCAATAGATCGCATACTGTTGATAGACTGGAACCCGCTGGGGGCTGTGTTTCCCCTCACCAACCCCATTTCCAAGATGGGAGTTTTATTCAGGGACTCATTCCTTGAGTTCCCAACATGTTGACTTTGCATCCATTTCTGTTTCCTAAGGCAGAATCATAGCAGAGATATGTAATCGAGATGCAAATAGAAGGCAGCCCAAATAAGGGAAAAGGACAGATTTTCAGCCCATTCTTGGGCTTGAGGAATGAGGTTTTGATTTGATAGAAGACAGTTCTGAGAAGCAGCCAGCTGCATGGGCTGCAATTTGTGGCCTTTCCTGAGTGCAGAAAGAAGGAAAAGGAGCCAAGTAAAATGTACACGTTTGGTTCCTCTTAGAATGATAGCTCCCACTGTTCGACTATTTAATAATCTGGATTATGCACATCCAGAGGTGAAATGAAGACATTTTCCTTTACAAATGGGTATTTTCAAATGAGCTAAATTAACCTTGAGAGAGAAGTGCCTGTAATCTCTGTTCCTGGTGTCATTTTCAAGCTTTTGCTTCGTGACTGTGTAGCCATTTAAAGTTTACAAAGCAACACTGTAGCTTATGCATCATTTTAAAACTTGCTTGACATTTATCTATAGTCAAAGCAAAAATAATAAACAACAACAAAATCAAAGGAGAGCAAATAGTTCAATGTGGCATCGTAAGCTTATTAGATAAACTAGTTCCGTCATTTTATGCAGTTCCCAGTAATGCCAGGATTAAAATATCCAGCAAGCCATTTAAACAGTGGCAAATGTGTCTTTGTGTTTGTAATTACAGTTGTTTGTTAAGCAGCCATTTTACTCTTGCACTGTAATGAGCTGAAAGGGGAATTAAGATAATGCTTTTTTTTCCTTCCCATATTGCTATTCAACTACCTCTATATGCTTGATGTCTCTTTGTGGTCTTCTTTCCTCTAAATCTGTACAAAAGAAGTTTCAGCTCGTCTATGTTGTAATAACAATGTGATATAGACAGTCTCTGTGAAAGCTTGTTGTTCATTAAAAAATGTTTCCTGTTGTCTCACTTCGTATCTAACACAACTCTACCCATACTTTAGGGCAAGAATTGCCCAAATAACTTCAGTTTTTTGGTTTTTTTTTTTTACGTGGGCCTCTCACTGCTGTGGCCTCTCCCATTGCGGAGCACGGGCTCCGGATGCGCAAGCTCAGCAGCCATGGCTCACGGGCCCAGCCGCTCCGCGGCATGTGGGATCTTCCCGGACCGGGGCACGAACCCGTGTCCCCTGCATCGGCGGGCAGACTCTCAACCGCTGCGCCACCAGGGAAGCCCAGTATCTTTTTGATGGAAGCTGAATAGAAAGGAAAGGGATCAGAACATCTATTTTGTTCTTGTTCCTATTGGTTGTAATACACTTGACCAGGAGATCTTCCAAGGAAATAGACCTGCACTCAGAAAGCAAGCTCTTATGTACGTGACAGTGAGGCAGGTGTGAACTGATTAAACTAATTGTTTAAAAATGCACCAGAAAAGCTTGTTGTTACTAATTATATTGAACCTTTTTGCTAATAATCTGCCCCTACTTTATTTGTCAATCCATTCATATATTGAGTTTGCTTAAAGCAGAGCGCACTACCTACTCTGTTTTCTTTGGCATGATAAAATGTTCATGAAAGCAAATTACACGTTTTATTTCAATTAAATGGTTTCTCAACAATAGGCTAAAGCTAAGGCCCACAGCATGAACCCTTTGACGGGAAAATTGGTAAAATTGACTAGGGCAATGAGCAGTGTCGACTGAGCTGACTGTGGCACGAGAGCTTCAGCAATATCTCACCTCCTTTACAGTACAGATGTTAGTCTCGTGCCGTTGAGGACTTCACACAGGTTCTATTTTACCACTGAAGAAAAAAAGACATAGGAGTAAAACAATTTAAAAAAAAATGATAGAACACTCCACTTGGGCCTGACCTTGTTCTTTGTAACAGGATCTTTCGGGTAGTTGAGAAAAATCAGAACTCCTGCCAACCAGGGCCCAAAGGGGACGCTTGGCTCTGTTGGACTTCGCCCTTCTGTGCCTCGTCTGCTACTGTCTGGTTCTCATGAGATAGAGCACACGCTGGCCAAAGGCACAATCTTCCCTCCGAGGCAGTTCTTCTGCCCAGAATGCCTGCCTAATCCTTTCTGGAGAACTGGATTGGATCATCGAAAAAGAAGGTCTTGTTTGAGCGAAGCCAAAGCCAACACTTGCTGCTTCCTCTCCTCTGGGATCCACCCTTTGAGTTCTCCAGGGCCAGAGATGCCTCCCTAGAAGGAACTCCCAGTCTCAAAATAAGATAGGAGCAAGAGAAGGGAAGGACAAATGCCCTAAATCCACAGGCTCTCAGATGTTTAAACATTTCCTTCCCCTCTTACGTTTTATGAGTTCTTAACTCCAGGAGGGGCTGAGGTGGGATGGGAAGGGGGTGGTGTCAATACTTTCCATATTGGCTTCTTCCAGGCAATGCAGAAGCTTCCCAGCCAGACTTGTCCATGGTCAGCCCAGTGCAGAGCCATGCCTTGGTCAAGGCAGAAGAGCGGAGGCCCCAAGGAGCCCTGCTTCTGGATCTCGGAGCCCACCTCTCCCACCCTTTGTTTCTGCCGATTTCCCCATTTCAACTGATCCTCCCATTGACTGGCCACCCATGTTTACTGTCCTCTTATACACATGTATTAGCCAGTGTCATCGTTGCATTAGAAAGCCCTGAAAAACCCTTTCCTCTGCTTATTGAAGTGTTGCCCTCTAGCCCTCCAGCCCTCCTGCAGAACACCACCTACCTCCCAGTAAGGCAATATCAACAATTTCTGGATACCACAAGGGCAATGAAATTAAGTAAGTCCCCAAATAGCTTACTTAACAGAAGTTCAGTTTCGCTATAAAAATCTTGCTTCTCTTGGATATTAGAGGTGCATTATGGAAATACTCAGCACGGTCTCGGGAACAGGGGAGATCACTGCCCCCTTTGACCCATCAGGACGCCCATTGCCACACCTGGCGTGCAACTGCATTCTCAGGACCACGTACTCCTCCTGCAAGCCCCAGTGAGCACTTTCGTAAGAGGACCAGGGAGGAGGGCTAGGGAAGCATGAAGTCCACAAATGGAGTTAAGCTCTTCAGTTCCGGCAGTCTACAGGGATGAGTTCCAACTGGTGGGAGGGAAGGAGGGAGGGAAAGAAGGGTGTGGAAATGGTTAATCATGACAAATGAAGTGACTTCCTTTTCACCGCCTTCTAGACAGAACTTCAGGCATCCTCTTCTCATGGTGACTGGATTTGATCTTCCATCCTGATTGGGGATGCCACTTATGTCCAAACCAAGACTGCAGTCATGTCTTCAGGAAGCAATGACTGTCATGTTCTTAAACCTTAGGCATTCAAAGACCCTGCTAACATGCACTGAGTGTCTCCTGCATGCCACGCTCTTTTCTAGGTTTTTAAATATTTAGCTTCTTGTGGGATCCTCCCTATGATCTAGGAAGTAGATCTCTAGTTCCATGTTACAGGGGAGTAAACTGCAGCACAGGGTGGTTACGTTACTTACCTAGGGTCATACAGACTAAAACCTGGGCAATGTGATTCCAGAGCCTACACCCTTAACCAGAATTATGAGCTGCCCACCATGCGGTGCTACGGACCCAGGAGAACAACTCAGCTGCTGGATACTCGGTTGGGGAACCTGCAGTAAGGGGGACGGCAAAAGAGCAGCTCCCATTTACCGAATGTGAACAATGTGCTGCGTGCTGTGCTTCACATTGTCTTGTTTGGTCCTGAGGTAGGTGCTGTTGTCACCCATCATTTACAGAGGAGGATGCTGCGGTTCGGAGAAATAAAGCAACTTGTTGAAGGCCACGCAGCTGGGCGGCAGGGAGGCTGGGCTTGGGATCCAGGCTGTCTCACTCCACAGTTGTTAGACTGCGTCTCACGAAGCCCACCGCCCTCACTTCTCGGGCCTTGGGTTTGCTGTATTCCCACCACTGCCTCCCCACCCCCACCAACAGACACTTATCTACCTTAACAGGAAGACCAGAAGCAAGAGACTTCAAGGTTGGTTCGTAGGTCCAATAATCCCATCAAGTGCCTGGTCCACTTCCATCTTTCCTGAATGTTTTTAAAGCCTCATTATTAATGAAACAGCTTCACAAAGAAAAGAAGGCTGTCTACCTAATCCTTCCCACTGGGGGCCAGATGCCTGAAGCAGGGGGGTTTGTTGGCCATCAGTACAGGACTATAAATCCACAGATGAAGGGATTTTTTAAGTAGAATAAGGTACTTTGAATTCTCCCTGGAACAGGTTGTGACATCTTACTGGTTCCCTCATTAATTATGAATTAAATAAAATCTTTGACGTGTGTTCAAAAATAAGTGGAAAGGGGGGGGTCTTCTGATGCTCACCTCTACTTCAAAGTTCAGATGGGAGGGTGTTCACCAGAGGCCTTTCTGCCTATAGGAACTGGCAGTAAAATAGAGGCTCAGCGACAGTGGTAATTCTTAGTCCAGGCCCTGCAAGGGCAGTAGCACCTCCGACTCATTCACTTGTTAATGGAACAAGTATTTACAGGACACATTATATGCTAGGCACTGGGCTACAGAGAAGAACACAACATGTCTGTTTCCTTGAGAGGCTCACAGCCTAGGGAAGAAAACACAGAGCATCATACAGAGCATTACTTTCCTCAAAGGAAAATCACCTAATCTTGCTTGGGGAGGTATTCAGGGAAGGCTTCCTGGAGGAGGTGGTGCAGAAGCTGAATCCTGAAGGACGAGAAATTTTCCAGGTGAAAGAGTGGAGGGGTTGAAGAACATTCCAGGCAGAAGAAACACATGAAAAAAATCTAGTGGTCCATCAGCCAATCGTGTGGAATATTGTGAGCAGTTCAGCCTGGCAGAGCACAGGGTTCAAGGCACGGTGGTTCCTGACAGGGAAACAGGGCCCAGTGCCAAACACTTTTGTTTTATCCTGATTGAAACCACCAGCTGCTCTCTTGCAGGGCTAGCGTGTGAGACCCCAGCCTGCCAGCCAAGTCAGGGTTCGTGGGGTAACCGCCACGGGAGTCCTCTCGGCACAGCCTGACTCCTGCTGCTGAGCCCAGGAGCCCCATTAGGGTTTGGACGAGAGAAAGAGAAGTGAGGGTTTGTGGGTTTGACATGCTTTGCGGAGTGATTGGAACCTTCAGAAGTGGGGAGGCCAGGGTGGAGTGGGGAAAGAAAGGAGTTGGCAGGGCTGGAGTGAGGGTTGTGATTTATAAGACCTGAAGGCTTTGGGACAATGGGCCCAGATGAATCTCTTCACCTTGATCAACCAAACATAAGCCAGGGCCCCGGCTGTGGGCCGCTGGAGCTGGCTCATCCTGGCTCACAAAAGCCAACCGTTATGATTTCAGAAATTTTACAAGGCGGTTGTTAAACACGGCCATTATTTTAAAACAAGTTATATAAACTTAAAATTAAATACATTACGTTAAAAACAAAGTAATGGATACTCAAAGTTTATCACTTCCTAATTGTTGTACTACTTTTCATTCTCATCAGTGACGTCAGGTTGGCAGCCAAAACCAGCCATGGTGTGTGCTGTACAGCACACTGGAAGTTAGGGGTCCTCTCCCAGGGAGCCGTTTGCTACATTTTTACCAGCACAGCACTGGCTCTGGGTCTTTTTCCTTTCTCCAACTCTCAGCTTACCCCCAATGCCAATAGCTGTTTTCAGGAAAATGCAATCCTGAAAACTAATTCATGTGGACATGCAAAGTTCTAGGAGTCCAGATTTCTGGTTTGGGCTCTTAGATAATTTATTCGTGCTTTAACAGAGTCTTCTGGGGACGCCAAGATGGTGTGATCGACAAAACATTTTCAGACCAACCTTTTCAGCGGCTGTTGAAATGGACGTAATAGATCCCCTCTATGCTTTTGTTTGAGGTCATCCCTCCACACTCACCCCCTTCAAACCACAAGCCTGAAACTATTCCCCCGGCCTAGGATTTCTGTGGAATTAAGCAGCTGAATCCTCATCATTCATCCCACTAAGG